CATTTTGTAATCTAGTACGTTACTGTTTACTGCACTTGCATAACAGGGAAAGACGCTTTCAGAATATTATCGTGCTTTATGTACACGTTACAGCTTTTTACAGGCAGCATTGCGCTGTCGATCGTTTCTTTTTAAAACTGAAATTTTTCTGTAGCTGAAATGTACAATGTTGTTTGCTACTGAAAGACAGTGTCTTTGTACTGTGAATTAATAACTTTAAATGGAATTTAAAGACGAGTGTGAGCCTGGTTATAGCCACTGAACACCTAAAACTGTAAGTGGAGTCATAAAAGTGACGTCATCATAGTGACCTCTTTTATACGGACACCTCTCTAATACGGACACTTCACTCTGTCCCTTCGGTGACCGTATTAGAGAGGTTCGACTATATTTGAATAACGAGCTTATTGATAGACTAAGAAGGTATAATTACATTATTATGCAAGACAAAAATAACTTTTTTTTCGGGTTACTAAAGAAAAAGCCCTCCGTCTGAAACGATTAGCAAATTGTTTCATGCCTAAGCTTGCGTATCTCGAGATATGAGTTTTAGCACAAAAGATTCGTTAATGTACACAATACCTAACGCGTTCCCAGATGGAGTAAATGAGTGATCCCAATATTTACATCCAAAAAGAGTCTATCATTTCGTTCTATCATATTTTTCTCTACGTCTGTTTCTTGGTGTAAGGTTCAGCTGGTTAGCTTTCTGAGGAGATACACCGATAGCTTTGTGTTAATAACAAAAACATACCTGTTCCCCATATCCCAGAGCTTCCACTTATGCTGATGTCACCGTCTGATAATGAACAATGCAATCAGGTAAAAATTCAGTTAAGTTCTTACACACGTTACCAAAATCCGTTAAATGTAACAGGAAAATGGAGTTGAGTATATACAAGAAATATATATCGCGCTTGTTGGCGTAGAATAAACAGTATTGAGGCCATAAGGGATCTTTTTCCTGAGGGAGATCAGTTGCACCGTTATAAGATCACACGGCCTACACGTTTCCTTAGATTTATTTCGTTTTAACGTGATGTATTTTTCTAATTAGTGTCATTAAATATCGTAACAAATTAGATTGCGTAATGCACTTTCAAAAGTGTAATGTGAACTTACCTTCAGATATCAACGCCGAAGTACCTCCGGCTAAGCCGTCTAAATCAGTTATAGATGCTAAAGTCAAGTATGAAGACCGAGGGAATGACAAAGCTTGAAGCTGCGATGTATCAATCGAAAAACCGATTCCAATAGAGATAATATGAACGCCATTTGAGGTTAACGGTTCAGCTGCACCTGGGATCTGGTCTGAAGATTTTCCTACCAGCAGTACTACCAGGAAACGTTTTCTGTCACCAGCGTCAACTCCAAAGAGAGTGGATCTAATTTGGGAAAGAGCAGCACCCGCGTTGCAGTCATCGCCTATTAACGTCAAACCAGCAATGGTCGATCTAACTTCAGTTGCGGTTGTGAAGTTGTCAAATCCAAATATAACCTAAAAAAATAAATGGCTTTCATTTACAACGGAAAATAATATGAGATGTGGGTAATATAAATCTTATCGATTGTTATGCACAGTTAGAAATGATTACAGAAAACTGATATTACTTGGATATGTACTCGTGAAAAAAAAAAAATAAAAAAAAAATGTTACACTATATGGTGAATAGTGAATGCCAATGGCGATGTTAAGATAGCATTGGGCAATAATCAAAAGACTGTCTTGTGACTCCTTATTAAGCCTACGAATACAGCCACCTCCCATCGCTCCCTGTCGTTAGGGGTTTCCTGAGAGGCGTCTGCGTTTTCGTCTCAAAAATCCCACTCTAATGACGAAAATCTCGGATGGGTTGACATGGCAATGGCGCTTTTCAGCTATTGTTTACAAAGAACAGAAAAAACAAAAAGACATAAGGAACAAATGTGTGACGCGCTGGGTCTAAAAACAGCAAAAAAGGAGTATTTGAGGTTGAATGGCCCCAAATTCGAATAAAAACATTTGATGATAATCGACAAGGAGGAAAAGGAAGTATAACAAATCTCCATCTGGAACCGCGTAGCCAATAGATTATTTATTATAAAAACACTAAACACTGTACATCATCCTCGATGAATTTATGAAGGGAAAACGTAGACGCCTCTCTGGTAAAACGTCTCTAGAAACAGAGGGCTATGAGAGGAGTATCTTCAATGGATTCTTATACTGTAACTAATTTAAGGAATTAGAGCTATTTACTTTTAGGCTGCTGGCAAAAGAGCTAATCCGTATCGTACTCCACTACCCATAGTAAACGAATTGAAAACGTTTATGGCAAAATTCATCATAACTTTGAAATTCGCCTCTCCCTTCACATTGGAGGAGGCATCTACCATGAAAGCCAGATCAATTCCACCTAGAGAAAAAAAGTAAATGCGGTTGTATGTGTTAGTCAGGGTACGAACATGTCAAAGAGTCATTCTGGGGCAAAATGTCTCCCTTTTGCCACATTTAGCACAATATAGTAAACTCCCGAAACACCCTGCAGAACGGTAGACATTTCCACTTTAATACCCCAAAATACAAGGATCTGTTTAGCCAAGCAAGATCTAACAGGCTCTTACATGTATATGTGGTTTATTGTGATAAACAATTTAATCAAGAAGTGTAATTTTGAGATTGTACAACTAAATATAATGAGAACATACTGCAGCTGTACCAAACGCGAAAATACGCGAAATATCGGCTGCTTTCTTTTTGGTGTCCCCAAATTAGTAAGGGATTCTTTTTTCCCTGGCTAGATGGCTTTTGACACTTTAATAAAGTATCTATCTATCTATCTATCGATCGATCGATCGATCGATCGATCTATCTATCTATCTATCTATCTATCTATCTATCTATCTATCTATCTATCTATCTATCTATCTATCTATCTATCGATCGATCTATCTATCTATCGATCGATCTATCTATCTATCGATCGATCTATCGATCTATCTATCTATCTATCTATCTATCTATCTATCTATCTATCTATCTATCTATCTATCTATCTATCTATCGATCTATCTATCTATCTATCGATCTATCTATCTATCTATCTATCTATCTATCTATCTATCTATCCAAACTGTATATAATTGCAATCATAAGTTTTTTTACTGTTATAATTATACAATTGTGAATAAATACTAGTTTATTTTTAAGGACCAAACCCAGGTTAATTTATTTTTCTGCTGATCAACAATCTATTATTTCCTTCATAAAAATTAAGATCCTGCTTAAGAACTTTCTTAGCCTAAATGCCAATAAGTACCCCTAAATACGTGGTACAAGAACCTATTTTGCCAGACTTAAAAAGGTAGGTTCTTGTATGCACGTGTTTACTCTATTTCGTCACCATAGAATACGTTGTTACAAAATTACTCCAGTATTGGTCTGAGGAATATCATAAATGAATAAGCCATGGAGAAAATAACAACCTTGTGCTATTAGATTTGCCACACTTAAACTGATGTCTATTAAGCCACGTGTTGAGGAAGTTCTTAGTACGTAGGAGTTGGGGTATGCCATCTGTATGAGCTGTGACTCTTGAACTAGGCCACCAATTCCAACAGCTATTATTTTGACTCCACACATTCGCAAGGACATTGCAGGAACCGATAAATCTCCAGGAGACGCCCCAGCAATCAATACTAGAAGAGCACGTGATCTTCCATTGGCGCTACGTTGGAACAGCTCTGAGTGGCACTTAGAAAGAGCGATGCCAGCGGTGCAACTACCCCCGATGAATGTCACATTAGCGACTGCATTGTCTATGTCGGAAATCGAAGTATACTGACTGAATCCAAATACAACCTTAAAATGAATGCGAATCCAAGTTAGCGTTTACTCCAAATATTTCATTTGTAACAGAACGAAATATTCTAAAGACTTATACGCTGGATAGGAAGTGTGAAAACACAATTTTAATTAGGTAAACTTGCCATAGCAATGCAATTAGGACGAAAGAATAAAAACTGATTTAGCAGAAAAGTTTGAAACTTAATGGTTAACGTATTTCGCTTGTCACTCACTTAACTTTTAATTTGGTGAGAACTGTCGGAGTAAGTTGGAGACATTTTTTCTTTACTTGACAATCGTAGGTTGAGGGCACGATTATTAATTAGGCTTTAAAAGAGGAAATGAAACAAAAGATAGTTAACAATGTCAGAGTGTTTCTGGCAAGTATACTAGCCGTGAAATTCGATTTACGTTTTCGATGAGTTTGTATATTGACCCTGAAATATTCCCATAGTGTTTATAGAATAGAATCATGGAATATAAATAGAAACGGATCTTTTCACCTCGGCAATTCCGCTTCCAAACACAACCAGCCCATATCGTACTCCATTTTCCAAAAGAAACTCGTGATACACGCTTTTGACAAAATCCATGACAAGCTGCAAATGTGTTTGTCCACCAATGCTGGAAGATGCATCAACCATGATTGCCAAGTCAAAGCCACCTATAAACAAGAGACACCCTCATGTTTTCGATTCATAGTTTAATCCGAGCCATAAGTGACCCAGCAGTTTGGTCGCATATTTGGCCCACAACGTAAACTACTGGGCACTCCAGTGATTGTGCCAACCTTTAAGGTCTATTTATTTACTTTTTACCCTAATTCCCGCGAGTCTCCTGTAGCTCACAGCCAGGTTTATGAAATGCCAAATAGCCTCAATCCAGGTTTTAAGTAAAGCTTCAAGACCAAATTTGTAAGCTCAAGTTCCATGTTCTTGGACAAGAAAACCTTGCTTAAAATTTGGCTTAATCCTGGGTTAAACTTAATCATCTTTCGAGGAACCGGGCCCAGAAATAGAGCATCTGCGCTAAATATATGAAGGCCAAACGCGCATTCTCATTACAACACTACAGGGAAATTGAAAACGTTAAGATATCAAAGACAAATAAGCTTCGACAATACTATTACTAACCTCCTCCTGCTGTTAAGGTACCCTCTGGAACTGTGCCTCCACTAATACTTATGTCCCCAACTATAAAAGAAAGAAGGGGAATGTGTTAGGAAACAACGACAGAAATAACGAAAACTATTCAACATAGATTCTAAGCTAAAATTTCGGATTAAATTTTTCATCGTACTCGACGTTAACAGTAAATCTAAGGCCAGCGAAACAAAAGCTACAAATAACACACAACTCCATTTATTTAAGCGGTTTGGAACACCTCGCAGTATTGGTAAATCTTTTCTCCCTCTGTTTGGATTGGGTGTATTAACGAAATTTGTCAAGATAGTTTACATTTCAGAAGTTAGATTGAATTAATCGTGCGTGGTTTTTTTAACCTTAACTTTAAATATAAATCCCAGACCAAAAGTGAAATACTAATGATGAATGATTGTGTAGGATGCTTTCTCAATAACTAAGACTTCCTCGTTGCCTTTGAAAGAAAAAAAAATGTATATACATTTCTATACCTTGTGATATCAGAGCAGTGGTCCCTCCAGAAAGCTCCAATAGTTCGCCAAATGAGGCAATGGTTAGAAAATAAGAAGAATCGAATACCATCTGTTTAAGTTGAGACTGATCAATGGACGGTCCGATTCCAATTGCAATTAATCGAACACCAGCTAATTTCAATGACCATACAGGATTTGAAACATCATCGGACGATTGGCCTGCCATCAGCACAACGAGAACACGCCGCCGGCCTCTGCTGTCATCTGTAAACAGGGCTGAAAGACGTTGGGAAAGAGCAGCACCCGTATTGCATGGACCACCGATCAACGACGAACCAGCGATGTCCGACTCAATATCAGCCATCGTCGCATGTTGGTTGAACCCAAACACAACCTTAAAGGTTACAATTAAGAAAGATTTCCAGTTATTCCAATGTGTAAAAAGGCAAAATAGTCCTGCGCTTATACTGCAGCGAATCAATCTCGGTTGTGAACACATGTAATCTATATGAACCCAGGTAATCATTTCAACCGTCGGAACCTAACGCAAAGGCCAGACCCCTCTTATATCCGAGACATCTGTATGAAAATGTGGACCCATTCCTATGACACTATGGCTTTAAAATAACCAGCCTTCGCATTAATCATTATAATATCAATAGTGACAACAGAATCATAAGACACACGAGCATGCCAATACCACAACTCCAAGCAACCGAGTCATAGATAATGGATTAGTATGTGTTTTTAAGTGGAGTTTACAAGTACCTTAACGCTGTTTCCGTAGACCAGTAAGCCATATCGTACGCCACGATTCAACGTAAAAGAGTGAAACACCCTTCTGACGAATCGCATCATCAACTCAAAGGTAAACGTGTCCTTGATGTTCGATGATGCATCCACCATAAACGCCAGATCGACTCCGCCTTTAGAGGAACAAAGCACAGTGTACAGCAGAATTAACGACATCATAATGAAAGGTCACGGAAAGCAAAGTCACCGAGTAACAAGTTACCTTGAGATATAAGAGCTGACAAACTTCCACTGATGTCAAAATAACCGTTAATCGATGGCATCCTTAGAACAGAAGACGAAGGGTAGGCTATATGTGAAAGTTGAGCGTGATCAACCAATTCACCCATTCCAACAACAGTTATCTTGACTCGGCACGTTCTTAAAGAAGCGGCAGCAAAAGATACGTCATCAGTTGATTTGCCTGCCATCAGTACAACCAGAACACGTGATCTACCGCTGGTGCTTTTGGTGCAAAACAATTCCTGGTAACATTTGGAAAGAGCCGCACCAGCGGTGCAACTGCCACCTATCGGCGAGGCGCCGGAGACAGCCGAGTCAACTTCAGTGATGGAAGTAAAGGTTTTGAATCCAAAAATAACCTTTGAGGGAAAAGTGGAGGAACCAATCAGCCAAAAAACTATTTCAAGACTTCTTCTTTTGACATAATAATATACGTATACTGAAAGAACCAGTTACCTTAACGTCGCCGTTTCCAAAGACAACTAATGCGTATCGCACTTTATAGCCTGTCATAAATGAATGATACACACTCTTGACAAATTCCAAAGTAAGTTGAAAATTTGCTTGTCCCCCAACACTAGACGATGTATCAACCATTATGGCCAAGTCAAAGCCACCTGAAGAGAAACAAAAGATCTGTTTGTCAATCACTTCAACTTGACTCACATACTTCCAGTATTGCAAATTCAGCCTGGGTAATTATGCAGTGGATGATGTCACGATCTTATCTTATTCGTGTCACCAACAGTCACCTATACACTTTGGTCCACTAGCTAAGTACTAATTTCGTCTTAGACCGAGAAGGATTTGAATGCTGCAAGGGAATGATTAAGGACCCAACCTAAAAATCTGCGACGCAAGCAAGACGAAACTTTTACAAACCTCCTCCGGCTGTTAAGCTGCCCATTGGAACTTTGCCTCCACTAATACTCACGTCACCAACTATAACAGGCAGAAAACAACCACAGTAATAACTAGAACTAAACGTACATTTCAGGCTTGAATCTTCGATTGAATGATTTATCGCACTTGGAGTTAACAGTCAAACTAAAGGTGGCCAAACTGAATGGGATATCTTTGTCCCGAATGTCTTTAATTAATTCAAAAAATAAAAGTACATAAATCAAGTCACAAATTAAACAAATCAAAAATGTTAAGAGCTCGTAGAATAATTATATATCTTTTTACATCAAGGAATTAATAGGTTATTTTTTTCTTTTCTGCAACATTTGATTCAACTCAGCGCTTAGATATGTATCTTTTTTCTTCTTATGGGTATAGAATGTTCTTGATTTCCCTATTTTAACTGGGTGTGTTGACGAGGACTGATAAAACAGTTTCACATTCCGGAAACTTCAAAATAATGACCATGTTTTGCTTTTAATCAGAGGTAAACCTTCCCTTCAAATTGCAGTTCAAGCGTTAAATACGCTGGAAATACGCTTTACGATTGTGTAGGATGATTTCTGTATGAATAAAGTTTCTTCACAGGCTTTGAAAGAAAATATCTATATATATATATATATGTACCTTGTGATATAAGGGCAGTGGTCCCTCCAGTGAGCTCCAATAGTTCGCCAAATGAGGCGATGGTTAGAAAATAAGAAGAATCGAATACCATCTGTTTAAGTTGAGACTGATCAATGGACGGTCCGATTCCAATTGCAATTAATCGAACACCAGCTAATTTCAATGACCATGCAGGATTTGAAACATCATCGGACGATTGGCCTGCCATCAGCACAACGAGAACACGCCGCCGGCCTTTGCTGTCATCTGTAAACAGGGCTGAAAGACTTTGGGAAAGAGCAGCACCCGTATTGCATGGACCACCGATCAACGACGAACCAGCGATGTCCGACTCAATATCAGCCATCGTCGCATGTTGGTTGAACCCAAACACAACCTTAAAGGTTACAATTAAGAAAGATTTCCAGTTATTCCAATGTGTAAAAAGGCAAAATAGTCCTGCGCTTATACTGCAGCGAATCAATCTCGGTTGTGAACACATGTAATCTATATGAACCCAGGTAATCATTTCAACCGTCGGAACCTAACGCAAAGGCCAGACCCCTCTTATATCCGACACATCTGTATGAAAATGTGGACCCATTCCTATGACACTATGGCTTTAAAATAACCAGCCTTCGCATTAATCATTATAATATGAATAGTGACAACAGAATCATAAGACACACGAGCATGCCAATACCACAACTCCAAGCAACCGAGTCATAGATAATGGATTAGTATTTGTTTTTAAGTGGAGTTTACAAGTACCTTAACGCTGTTTCCGTAGACCAGTAAGCCATATCGTACGCCACGATTCAACGTAAAAGAGTGAAACACCCTTCTGACGAATCGCATCATCAACTCAAAGGTAAACGTGTCCTTGATGTTTGATGATGCATCCACCATAAACGCCAGATCGACTCCACCTTTAGAGGAACAAAGCACAGTGTACAGCAGAATTAACGACATCATAATGAAAGGTCACGGAAAGCAAAGTCACCGCGTAACAAGTTACCTTGAGATATAAGAGCTGACAAACTTCCACTGATGTCAAAATAACCGTTAATCGATGGCATCCTTAGAACAGAAGACGAAGGGTAGGCTATATGTGAAAGTTGAGCGTGATCAACCAATTCACCCATTCCAACAACGGTTATCTTGACTCGGCACGTTCTTAAAGAAGCGGCAGCAGCAGATACGTCATCAGTTGATTTGCCTGCCATCAGTACAACCAGAACACGTGATCTACCGCTGGTGCTTTTGGCGAAAAACAATTCCTGGTAACATTTGGAAAGAGCCGCACCAGCGGTGCAACTGCCACCTATCGGCGAGGCGCCGGAGACAGCCGAGTCAACTTCAGTGATGGAAGTAAAGGTTTTGAATCCAAAAATAACCTTTGAGGGAAAAGTGGAGGACCCAATCAGCCAAAAAACTATTTCAAGACTTCTTCTTTTGACATAATAATATACGTATACTGAAAGAACCAGTTACCTTTACGTCGCCGTTTCCAAAGACAACTAATGCGTATCGCACTTTATAGCCTATGATAAATGAATGATACACACTCTTGACAAATTCCAAAGTAAGTTGAAAATTTGCTTGTCCCCCAACACTAGACGATGTATCAACCATTATGGCCAAGTCAAAGCCACCTGAAGAGAAACAAAAGATCTGTTTGTCAATCACTTCAACTTGACTCACATACTTCCAGTATTGCAAATTCAGCCTGGGTAATTATGCAGTGGATGATGTCACGATCTTATCTTATTCGTGTCACCAACAGTCACCTATACACTTTGGTCCACTAGCTAAGTACTAATTTCGTCTTAGACCGAGAAGGATTTGAATGCTGCAAGGGAATGATTAAGGACCCAACCTAAAAATCTGCGACGCAAGCAAGACGAAACTTTTACAAACCTCCTCCGGCTGTTAAGCTGCCCATTGGAACTTTGCCTCCACTAATACTCACGTCACCAACTATAACAGGCAGAAAACAACCACAGTAATAACTAGAACTAAGCGTACATTTCAGGCTTGAATCTTCGATTGAATGATTTATCGCACTTGGAGTTAACAGTCAAACTAAAGGTGGCCAAACTGAATGGGATATCTTTGTCCCGAATGTCTTTAATTAATTCAAAAAATAAAAGTACATAAATCAAGTCAAAGGTTAAACAAATCAAAATTGTTATATATCTTTTTACATCGAGGAATTAATAGGTTATTTTTTTCTTTTCCGCAACATTTGATTCAACTCAGCGCTTAGATATGTATCTTTTTTCTTCTTATGGGAATAGAATGTTCTTGATTTCCCTATTTTAACTGGGTGTGGTTACGAGGACTGATAAAACAGTTTCACATTCCGGAAACTTCAAAATAACGACCATGTTTTGCTTTTAATCAGAGGTAAACCTTCCCTTCAAATTGCAGTTCAAGCGTTAAATACGCTGGAAATACGCTTTACGATTGTGTAGGATGATTTCTGTATGAATAAAGTTTCTTCACAGGCTTTGAAAGAAAATATCTATATATATATATATGTACCTTGTGATATAAGGGCAGTGGTCCCTCCAGTGAGCTCCAATAGTTCGCCAAATGAGGCGATGGTTAGAAAATAAGAAGAATCGAATACCATCTGTTTAAGTTGAGACTGATCAATGGATGGTCCGATTCCAATTGCAATTAATCGAACACCAGCTAATTTCAATGACCATGAAGGATTTGAAACATCATCGGACGATTGGCCTGCCATCAGCACAACGAGAACACGCCGCCGGCCTTTGCTGTCATCTGTAAACAGGGCTGAAAGACTTTGGGAAAGAGCAGCACCCGTATTGCATGGACCACCGATCAACGACGAACCAGCGATGTCCGACTCAATATCAGCCATCGTCGCATGTTGGTTGAACCCAAACACAACCTTAAAAAGGTTACAATTTAGAAAGATTTCCAGTTATACCAATGTAAAAAGGCAAAATAGTCCTGCGCTTATACTGCAGCGAATCAATCTCGGTTGTGAACACATGTAATCTATATGAACCCAGGTAATCATTTCAACCGTCGGAACCTAACGCAAAGGCCAGACCCCTCTTATATCCGACACATCTGTATGAAAATGTGGACCCATTCCTATGACACTATGGCTTTAAAATAACCAGCCTTCGCATTAATCATTATAATATGAATAGTGACAACAGAATCATAAGATACACGAGCATGCCAATACCACAACTCCAAGCAACCGAGTCATAGATAATGGATTAGTATGTGTTTTTAAGTGGAGTTTACAAGTACCTTAACGCTGTTTCCGTAGACCAGTAAGCCATATCGTACGCCACGATTCAACGTAAAAGAGTGAAACACCCTTCTGACGAATCGCATCATCAACTCAAAGGTAAACGTGTCCTTGATGTTTGATGATGCATCCACCATAAACGCCAGATCGACTCCGCCTTTAGAGGAACAAAGCACAGTGTATAGCAGAATTAACGACATCATAATGAAAGGTCACGGAAAGCAAAGTCACCGAGTAACAAGTTACCTTGAGATATAAGAGCTGACAAACTTCCACTGATGTCAAAATAACCGTTAATCGATGGCATCCTTAGAACAGAAGACGAAGGGTAGGCTATATGTGAAAGTTGAGCGTGATCAACCAATTCACCCATTCCAACAACAGTTATCTTGACTCGGCACGTTCTTAAAGAAGCGGCAGCAGCAGATACGTCGTCAGTTGATTTGCCTGCCATCAGTACGACCAAAACACGTGATCTACCGCTGGTGCTTTTGGCGAAAAACAATTCCTGGTAACATTTGGAAAGAGCCGCACCAGCGGTGCAACTGCCACCTATCGGCGAGGCGCCGGAGACAGCCGAGTCAACTTCAGTGATGGAAGTAAAGGTTTTGAATCCAAAAATAACCTTTGAGGGAAAAGTGGAGGAACCAATCAGCCAAAAAACTATTTCAAGACTTCTTCTTTTGACATAATAATATACGTATACTGAAAGAACCAGTTACCTTTACGTCGCCGTTTCCAAAGACAACTAATGCGTATCGCACTTTATAGCCTGTCATAAATGAATGATACACACTCTTGACAAATTCCAAAGTAAGTTGAAAATTTGCTTGTCCCCCAACACTAGACGATGTATCAACCATTATGGCCAAGTCAAAGCCACCTGAAGAAAAACAAAAGATCTGTTTGCCAATCACTTCAGCTTGACTCACATACTTCCAGTATTGTTTGTTGTCATAGCAAATTCAGCCTGGGTAATTATGCAGTGGATGATGTCACGATCTTATCTTATTCGTGTCACCAACAGTCACCTATACACTTTGGTCCACTAGCTAAGTACTAATTTCGTGTTAGACCGAGAAGGATTTGAATGCTGCAAGGGAATGATTAAGGACACAACCTAAAAATCTGCGACGCAAGCAAGACGAAACTTTTACAAACCTCCTCCGGCTGTTAAGCTGCCCATTGGAACTTTGCCTCCACTAATACTCACGTCACCAACTATAACAGGCAGAAAACAACCACAGTAATAACTAGAACTAAACGTACATTTCAGGCTTGAATCTTCGATTGAATGATTTATCGCACTTGGAGTTAACAGTCAAACTAAAGGAGGCCAAACTGAATGGGATATCTTTGTCCCGAATGTCTTTAATTAATTCAAAAAATAAAAGTACATAAATCAAGTCACAATTTAAACAAATCAAAAATGTTAAGAGCTCGTAGAATAATTATATATCTTTTTACATCAAGGAATTAATAGGTTATTTTTTTCTTTTCCGCAACATTTGATTCAACTCAGCGCTTAGAAATTTATCTTTTCTCTTCTTATGGGAATAGAATGTTCTTGATTTCCCTATTTTAACTGGGTGTGGTTACGAGGACTGATAAAACAGTTTCACATTCCGGAAACTTCAAAATAACGACCATGTTTTGCTTTTAATCAGAGGTAAACCTTCCATTCAAATTGCAGTTCAAGCGTTAAATACGCTGGAAATATGCTTTACGATTGTGTAGGATGATTTCTGTATGAATAAAGTTTCTTCACAGGCTTTCAAAGAAAATATCTTTATATATTTATGTACCTTGTGATATAAGGGCAGTGGTCCCTCCAGAGAGCTCCAATAGTTCGCCAAATGAGGCGATGGTTAGAAAATAAGAAGAATCGAATACCATCTGTTTAAGTTGAGACTGATCGATGGACGGTCCGATTCCAATTGCAATTAATCGAACACCAGCTAATTTCAATGACCATGAAGGATTTGAAACATCATCGGACGATTGGCCTGCCATCAGCACAACGAGAACACGCCGCCGGCCTTTGCTGTTATCTGTAAACAGGGCTGAAAGACTTTGGGAAAGAGCAGCACCCGTATTGCATGGACCACCGATCAACGACGAACCAGCGATGTCCGACTCAATATCAGCCATCGTCGCATGTTGGTTGAACCCAAACACAACCTTAAAGGTTACAATTAAGAAAAAGATTTCCAGTTATTCCAATGTGTAAAAGGCAAAATAGTCCTGCGCTTATACTGCAGCGAATCAATCTCGGTTGTGAACACATGTAATCTATATGAACCCAGGTAATCATTTTAACCGTCGGAACCTAACGCAAAGGCCAGACCCCTCTTATATCCGACACATCTGTATGAAAATGTGGACCCATTCCTATGACACTATGGCTTTAAAATAACCAGCCTTCGCATTAATCATTATAATATGAATAGTGACAACAGAATCATAAGATACACGAGCATGCCAATACCACAACTCCAAGCAACCGAGTCATAGATAATGGATTAGTATGTGTTTTTAAGTGGAGTTTACAAGTACCTTAACGCTGTTTCCGTAGACCAGTAAGCCATATCGTACGCCACGATTCAACGTAAAAGAGTGAAACACCCTTCTGACGAATCGCATCATCAACTCAAAGGTAAACGTGTCCTTGATGTTTGATGATGCATCCACCGTAAACGCCAGATCGACTCCGCCTTTAGAGGAACAAAGCACAGTGTACAGCAGAATTAACGACATCATAATGAAAGGTCACGGAAAGCAAAGTCAACGAGTAACAAGTTACCTTGAGATATAAGAGCTGACAAACTTCCACTGATGTCGAAATAACCGTTAATCGATGGCATCCTTAGAACAGAAGACGAAGGGTAGGCTATATGTGAAAGTTGAGCGTGATCAACCAATTCACCCATTCCAACAACAGTTATCTTGACTCGGCACGTTCTTAAAGAAGCGGCAGCAGCAGATACGTCATCAGTTGATTTGCCTGCCATCAGTACGACCAGAACACGTGATCTACCGCTGGTGCTTTTGGCGAAAAACAATTCCTGGTAGCATTTGGAAAGAGCTGCACCAGCGGTGCAACTGCCACCTATCGGCGAGGCGCCGGAGACAGCCGAGTCAACTTCAGTGATGGAAGTAAAGGTTTTGAATCCAAAAATAACCTTTGAGGGAAAAGTGGAGGAACCAATCAGCCAAAAAACTATTTCAAGACTTCTTCTTTTGACATAATAATATACGTATACTGAAAGAACCAGTTACCTTTACGTCGCCGTTTCCAAAGACAACTAATGCGTATCGCACTTTATAGCCTGTCATAAATGAATGATACACACTCTTGAGAAATTCCAAAGTAAGTTGAAAATTTGCTTGTCCCCCAACACTAGACGATGTATCAACCATTATGGCCAAGTCAAAGCCACCTGAAGAAAAACAAAAGATCTGTTTGCCAATCACTTCAGCTTGACTCACATACTTCCAGTATTGTTTGTTGTCATAGCAAATTCAGCCTGGGTAATTATGCAGTGGATGATGTCACGATCTTATCTTATTCGTGTCACCAACAGTCACCTATACACTTTGGTCCACTACCTAAGTACTAATTTCGTGTTAGACCGAGAAGGATTTGAATGCTGCAAGGGAATGATTAAGGACACAACCTAAAAATCTGCGACGCAAGCAAGACGAAACTTTTACAAACCTCCTCCGGCTGTTAAGCTGCCCATTGGAACTTTGCCTCCACTAATACTCACGTCACCAACTATAACAGGCAGAAAACAACCACAGTAATAACTAGAACTAAACGTACATTTCAGGCTTGAATCTTCGATTGAATGATTTATCGCACTTGGAGTTAACAGTCAAACTAAAGGTGGCCAAACTGAATGGGATATCTTTGTCCCGAATGTCTTTAATTAATTCAAAAAATAAAAGTACATAAATCAAGTCACAATTTAAACAAATCAAAAATGTTAAGAGCTCGTAGAATAATTATATATCTTTTTACATCAAGGAATTAATAGGTTTTTTTTCTCTTTTCCGCAACATTTGATTCAACTCAGCGCTTAGAAATGTATCTTTTTTCTTCTTATGGGAATAGAATGTTCTTGATTTCCCTATTTTAACTGGGTGTGTTGACGAGGACTGATAAAACAGTTTCACATTCCGGAAACTTCAAAATAATGACCATGTTTTGCTTTTAATCAGAGGTAAACCTTCCCTTCAAATTGCAGTTCAAGCGTTAAATACGCTGGAAATACGCTTTACGATTGTGTAGGATGATTTCTGTATGAATAAAGTTTCTTCACAGGCTTTCAAAGAAAATATCTATATATCTTTATGTACCTTGTGATATAAGGGCAGTGGTCCCTCCAGAGAGCTCCAATAGTTCGCCAAATGAGGCGATGGTTAGAAAATAAGAAGAATCGAATACCATCTGTTTAAGTTGAGACTGATCAATGGACGGTCCGATTCCAATTGCAATTAATCGAACACCAGCTAATTTCAATGACCATGAAGGATTTGAAACATCATCGGACGATTGGCCTGCCATCAGCACAACGAGAACACGCCGCCGGCCTTTGCTGTTATCTGTAAACAGGGCTGAAAGACTTTGGGAAAGAGCAGCACCCGTATTGCATGGACCACCGATCAACGACGAACCAGCGATGTCCGACTCAATATCAGCCATCGTCGCATGTTGGTTGAACCCAAACACAACCTTAAAGGTTACAATTAAGAAAGATTTCCAGTTATTCCAATGTGTAAAAAGGCAAAATAGTCCTGCGCTTATACTGCAGCGAATCAATCTCGGTTGTGAACACATGTAATCTATATGAACCCAGGTAATCATTTTAACCGTCGGAACCTAACGCAAAGGCCAGACCCCTCTTATATCCGACACATCTGTATGAAAATGTGGACCCATTCCTATGACACTATGGCTTTAAATTAACCAGCCTTCGCATTAATCATTATAATATGAATAGTGACAACAGAATCATAAGACACACGAGCATGCCAATACCACAACTCCAAGCAACCGAGTCATAGATAATCGAATAGTATGTGTTTTTAAGTGGAGTTTACAAGTACCTTAACGCTGTTTCCGTAGACCAGTAAGCCATATCGTACGCCACGGCCCAATGTAAAAGAGTGAAACACGCTTGTGATGAATCGCATCATCAACTGAAAGTTAACCTTGTCCTTTATGTTTGATGATGCATCCACCATAAACGCCAGATCAACACCGCCTTGAAAGATATTGGAAGACAAATGGGATTAAGCGACTTATCGAATGCAAAGAATTGCTACTCCAAACACGGTTACTGCAATAACTTGGTTGCCGTAGCATGTTGCAAAAATTACCTTGGGATGTCAAGGCCGACGCGCTTCCACTGATGTCAAACAAGCCATCGATAGATGCTGTTGTCAAAACAAAAGAGGATGAGCTTGCCAAATCCTGAAGTTGGTATTGGTCGATCCCGTTTCCTATTCCAACCACCGTTACTTTTACTCGACACATTTGTAAAGAAGCTGCAGCACTCGAGATGTCATCGGTGGATTTTCCCACTACAAGCACAAGAAGTGCTCGTGATCTTCCTCTTGTACTCTCTACATAAAACAGATCCTGGTGACACTTGGAAAGAGCAACACCCACAGCACAGCTGCCGCCCAACAATGAAGCTTGACTAACCGCCAAGTCAACCTCAGAGATTGTTGTGTACTCACTGAAACCAAAGACTACCTTTTTTGTGAGAAAAAGAAAAAAAGAAACTCTTTTCGCGCCTTATTACAATAGTTTCTATTTTCTTACATGTTCAAGTTTTAAAATAGTTTGAGATCTGCATAGCAAACAGTTATTAAAGCACATAACATCTTTCTGAGTAGTTCCCCATCATGTTCCGATAACTTTTAGAGACAGAGTGCCATTTTCTAAAGATGAATTTGCACGACTGGTTAGCAACCCTCTTAAGAACTTTACTACACATTGCAAACCAGCTTAATTAAGGAGAGATGTTGACATGTCGCGCAATTTAACCACGTGCCCTCTAATACTGTTAAAAGGGAGTAATTTTTTACCTTAACACTACCACCCCCAAATATTACTAAGGCGAATCTAACTCTATGTCCCGTCATAAATGAATGGTAAATGCTCTTGACGAACTGCATAACGATTTTAAAGTTAGCCGCTCCACCAACACTGGATGAACCATCCACCAATATTACCAAGTCAAAGCCACCTAGAAGGAAAAAAATCATTGGTTAACAAATGGCTATACGGTAAGCCCCTGACCGTTGATTATCTTGCTTTAGTTACTCTTAAACACACATGCAGTTTCTAAATAGACTGAAAATGTTACAAACCTCCGCCAGCTGTTAACGTCTCCGTTAATACTGATCCTGCACTGATGCTGACGTCGCCGACTACAATCAAATTTAGGAAGAAGAAAAATAAGAAGGAGGAAAATATGAAAAACAGGAAAGGAAAAAAATGAGAGAAGAAATATGGAGAGAAAATGGAAGTTACTGATGACAATCTTATTAAGAAGAAATCTCAAATTTAGTTATAGTAAGAACATTTTTTCCCTCCTTAGTGAGACCAAAGGATTATTATACGTTTCTGGGAAACTGCCCACCTACCCCTTCCCTAAGCCAACGTTAACACTTACTTCTCACTTAGGGCAAAATTTAGGCTCAGGGGAGGGGTAGGTGGGCAGTTTGACTCTTCAAAGAGTCAATAGCCTGTGTACAGACGTCCCCTCTCCCTCAGGAAAAATCGGGAGAAGAGACGTCTGTGAATCGCCGTCGTTAATCGTGTTCCGGTATACATTTGCATAAATTATTTTTTTGTTCTTTCGCTGACAGTTGAAAAGGCACGTGTAGGTCGAAAAATAGCTCTGGCGTCTGTGTACAGGCTAGCCGAACATTTTCACGTAATGTCCGTCCAAAATCCAGATATAAGATCTCTGATTATAGTCAAGCAAAGGCTGAGCTTTTCCCCGGGGAATCTATTCTGAAGTTCCTTCACCAATCACAACACCGGAAATTATTTGCGTCATGGCATTAACATTACAACCAATCAGAGGCTATCCCCAACATTCCGGGGAAACGGGAACACGATTATCGTCGGCGATTCACAGACGTTTCCTCTCCCGATTTTTCTAAGGGAGGGGGGACGTCTGTACACAGGCTAAGAGTCAAAATCAAATCCGAACCAAATCTATGGGTTTTAAAACAACTAAAACATTGTTATGAAATAGAATCCAAAGCAACCCTTGAAGTACCGTGAAAGTTAGCCTGTACACAGAAGTTGTTATATTTCTCTTTTCGTTCTTTTCGAGCAAGAACGAGCGCGGAGCGCGAGGAAGAAAAATAAAGCCCGTCTGTAGACATCTTTGAAAAAAAAGAGACTGAGGTTTATTAAGTCTCTCCCCCCCATGTCAACGCCACAACATTATCACCTCCGCGTTCACAGCACCAATTAAATTGGACCAATGATATTGGAGATATAAATTGCTCGTGAAATTGGCTTAAGTATTTTACAAACAACAATGACACTCGGAGTCGCGTGTTATTTGAAGCATTTCTTCTCAGACTGCTTCAACGTCGAAAAAGCCGACTATACCAGAAGAAGTCCGAAGTCGAAACAAATCGGCCCATCCGATTATTGTAGGATATCTTGGTACTGTTTATACGTCGATAGTACTGGGCAATCATCCTGTTTCCGTAAAGCTACAGCGAATCTTTTTATTGAGAGTGTTCGTCAAAGTGTTACAAAATTGGAGAGTTCGCAAATAGAAGATTAGTAAAGTAGGGTTTGTTCGCCTTGCTGTAATAAGGTTAGAAGCGCTCGGGCTGGATTTTCCTTTATTAAAACCACAGGGAAATCTTATTTGTAAACTGCAAATGGAATCAACTTGCATGTTGTATTCTTGAATCTGCTGCCGAGCAAAGTGAAATGGAAGCTGTTCTGCGATGTATATAGCCTGCGAAAACATCCGTTTCTCCTCGCTCTTCGCCGCTAGGGACGTTCCGCGCGGAGGAACGTCTGCGACTCAGCGACAGAAATTCCATACTGATGACGCAAATCAATATTTATATAATAAATCCGGTAGTCATGGGGTTCCAAATATAAATTTGTCCAATTTTACATGTCTTCTGGTCGATTTTGGTAAAGTGTTGTGTTCATCTGCCAAGGAGCTCCAGCAAAACTCAAACGCGTTTATATTTGGCCTAAAACAATGTTACTACAACGTCGACCAATCAGCGCTTCTGACCGGATTCCGGACAGATTTTACGTCATCAGTATGGAATTTCTGTCGCTAAGTCGCAGACGTTCCTCCGCGTGAACGTCCCCAGCGGCGAAGAGCGAGGAGAAACGCATGTTTTCGCAGGCTACGATGCATAATCGATGTTTTGTCGGCGCTGGGTCCGTAAATTTCGCAATGCTTGATTTCCATTTGCAGTTTACAAATAACAGAGGCGGTTCCCTATGTTAAAACCAGCTTTCAAGAAAGCGGGCACGACGATGATAGCCTTGGGTTAAAAGAATGTTTGCATCACCTCATGGTTCCGCGGCGATACTGAAATGCCAGCTTATCTCATTGCTTCAACTTGATCAATGATAATAATGACGTAATGACGACGCAAATACCACGTTCTTCTCTCTTTGTTTGAGTTTCACTGCCGCGAACAAATGGTAAATTAAACTTTTCCCAAAACCCGTGGAAGAACCGCCACAACATTCTTTTGCTCCATTAAACCCAAAACAGCCTGGCACTGCTCTTCTTTGAGCACGTATTTGCTGTGCCAAACAGTCGTCAAGTACGCTTTTCATGGTCTACACTGCACTACGATGCCAGAGATATGGTAGCATGACTACATCCCGAGTTCACAAGTAGGCAGCGCTTTCAATCGATGCTATTTTTTAATGCAAATTAAAGTGTCGCGGTAAGCAGTAACAAACGCTTCTACTTCGCGCCGCATGAGGTGAGCGTGATGAGTCGTTGACATAATGATGGCAGGTTAATCGGCGTTCAGCCAATGGTAATTTGCTTTTCTTGGGGAAAGCAAGTCTCAGTTACTCCCAGAGATATCTATTGCTGGTTTTCGGTGTCACACCATTCAAAATAGATCAAAATCAAAATCAAAACCGTTCAATAAATAAAGTCCAGAATCTGCGGGGAAATGAAAGGAGGTAAATATACAAAGACCCTCGCCAAGATTCAGGTCAGAGGAGTTTTCATATACGAGATATCCGAAGAAATCTTTTACCCAAATTTATAAGAATTTGCATGGAGACGTCATTCTGGTACCCACCAGTTGTTCGAAGGCCGATTGGCGCTTAATCCAGGGTTAAATTTAACCCGGGTTTCTTTTTCTTTTGTTCAAAAGCATTTTCTCAGATACTTTTCTCTGTTATTTTTAAGAGCATCCAATCATCAACTTGCTGACAGAAAAGATTAAACTGAATTTAATTTTTAAGCTTTCAAATCTGAGTTCAAATTTCGCACTAACCCCGGGTTATCTTTACCCATCTTTGAATAGCCCGGCCCATGGATGGGCACCAACATGGGGGACGGAAACCAACAGAAACATCTCATACCGAGTTTTGCTCCAAAAGCGTGAATATATCCCTCAAGGAACTCATAAACATTAAAGTAATACTTTATCTATTACATTAACTGTTTAAATAACAAAATTCCCCGAAACAACTCTTTTTTTAAACCTATATTACAGCTCTCTCGCCCGCCATGTAAATGCCGCGTCACGCAAAAGCTAAGAAATTCAAGCGTACTCTAACGCAAAACCAAGAAACCTTTTGAAGCGAAAACTTGTACGAACATTAGTTTTCAGCTTCTCTAATACATCATGAAAGTAAAATCTCAGCAGTATCGATAGTTTTGTAGTTTGAGTTTTAGTGACGTCATGTGAAAACCAACAATACAGCCGTTTTTAGTGTCGTCACGTACGGGAGCGTTGCGTGACGACACTAAAAACGGCTTTGTAGCAGATTAGGACGTCTACAGACCGTCTATTTTCTTCTTCCCCCACCACCACCCCGTTGCGCTGGCGTTCAATAAATCCCCCGCGGTTTATATTTCATCACGCGTGCTCGACGGACATTGAAGCCGAGGCTACGTGAAAGTGAGATCTCCTCGTCAACACTGTTTAGATATACAGATGTATATGAAATAAATCATTTAACAAATCATTCAACTGCGAGGGTCATTCTTCATTTGATTATTTAGTTATCTTAAAAAGCGCGAAAAAGACGCTCTCTGACACCTGCCAGCTAATTCCTTCAGGGCTGCTAATTTTTTTGTTTTTGTTTTTTTCAAGTTAAACGTAAGTAGTTTTTCTCCGCTTTTTACAGATGTACTTTGATTGCTCGATTTATATTAGTTTAATATAGTATTGATGATTTACGTTAGTTTCTTTTTTCCTTTCTGCACGAGGCACTATTATAAATAATATAATTGTTTTTCTTTCTTTTTTGTGTGTGTATTTAATGTAATAAATGAATGATTTTCCAGTAATCGGAGACCAGTTATGAGCAAAGGGTTTTGGGATGGCCAAGGTGCGAACATTGAAAGTCGTTACAAAAAATTGTACGGCGTAAAGGTGTTTCTCCGTTTAAAGCATTTCTGCCAAGATTTTGTGTGAAGCGGGGGTGACTAATATTGATGCGCTGAAATTATAACTTTTGTGTGATCAATGCGATAAATTCTATCGCTAAAAACACTCCTTTAACAACGTTTACTGTGAAATAATAGTCTCGAAAGATATAGTACAAACTTAGGTATATACGAGCGGGGAATGACTCGTTTAAGTCTTTCCAGACGTAGTTACATGCGCCGATATTTACTTGCCTAGTCCCTAGACCTCATTTTTCCTCGCGGCCAAAGCGTTTCGGGCCACGTGGTCCATGCGAAAATGTGAGGCCTAGACAAAAATCCTCAAAAGTGAGACAAAAGTGAGACAGCTCAATGGCGATGGTAAACAAGACCAGTGTTTCGAATTTCAAAGTTAAAAATACATCGCTAAAACACACAGATTTGAGAGGAATCTTCAAAAGAATCCTTGGTTTTCTTCAAGTTGACAAAGGAAAGCTTTTCCGGCTTTATAAAACTGTCCTTCGAGGAATTTAAAATACACGGAATTTTTATCACGGCCGATCGGAGTGCTTCGCTTGTTTTGAAACGCCACCAAGCAGCGAAGTTTTGAAGAATTTTCAGGTACATTTTGTACTCTATAGTCAAGAAAATTACGCATTTGTGAATGTTGTATACATTTTGAGATCGGCTTGAGCGCCCTGACTTGAGATTTGTGTTGAAAAATTTTTGCCCTGTGCTCAACCGATTTTACTTGCGTGAACGGACCGACGAGCCAAATTTGTGTCACGCGAATTGCTTTTAAGGATTAATTTATGGGCCTTTGAATAAAAATTTTCGAGAAAATAATTTCTCTGTCTGTTGTTGTGTGTTCTTTCATTGTAACATTTGCTCAAAACACGATCCTGAGACAACGCATGCAAGTTGAATTTAATCCTTCTCACATTTATAATACACGCATCACTTCTGTGAATGTCGGCGAATTTTATAGGATTTTTACTTTTAGATTCAGTTTCTGGGCACTTTTTGATACGCAGCTAATGAATTTTATTTGAGAGTATGGTTTTTCTAATTAATCAAGATTTGAGGTCAAAGTTTACAACACACGGGTCAATATTGTGTTTACTTTGGAAATTCGCGAGCGGCAAACTCCGATAGCTCAGTTGGAATGATGAGATTGAAGGAGCAGTATAAATCTTCATAGGACTATGAATAACATTCTGATGACTTTTCAAAGCCGGTCGGCAAAAGTCGATCCTACAAATATCCACAAGAGTGGTTAATAACCAAAATCTCCTGCTGCCTGCTTGCTTGCTGCTCACAACATTAACGTCATCTTTGAATTTCAAAAAGTAACGCACGCATGCGCATTCTGTTTTTGTCTAGGCGTTTCCCGCCCGTTCGCCTCGGATACGTCACCGAAACGAATTGACCGAGAGGGACTGGGAAAACGCCGTACAGGGACTAGGCAAGATATTTACAACGAGTGTAACTGCTCCATACACGGCGGCGATCACAACGTTGTGCCGGTTGTGACAACGATCGAAGGAACTAGGATGTATCTAGTATATGTAAATTTAAAAACAACAACATCTTGACGCATTCTTCACTTTGATTCCCTCTTCTCGCCAAAATCAGAACTAAAACGTTTTGTCGTGATCCAGTGCTACAATGCCGAGTTCTACAACTTTTTCGAATCATTTTGTGAAAGGATATAGAAATCTTGAATGTCACACATCTACATGGAATTTTAATATTTCCACATTAACTGTTTTTGTATCGGAAATCTTTTTAAATACTCATTTTGCTGCGCTCACAAGTCCGATTTCTGCCACATCTACTCATGCATAAATATCACGTACTTTCCACGTAGAGGATACTTAGACCCTGCTTACATGGACTGGGGGACCCCGATCTAGTGGGGTAGGTTTCTTTTGTTTTGTGTCCCCCAGAGCGTGAAAACAAAAGAAACCAACTCCACTAGACCGGGGTCGCCCACTCCATGTAAACAGGCCCTTCTACAACGTAAATGAGGATTTTTCTTATTTCTATTTCATCGAACATACCTTCGATGATTGTTGTCTTGTCACCGTACCAAGAAAAGCGGGTCCAATTCGAAAACAATAGGTATTGTTTTCTGTTGTAAAATTGGCCATATTAGGTCTTTTTTGAAATGACTTAAACAATGGCGCTTTAAACGTGCAAAATTCCGATGACTACCGAGGCGGCAAATTTGAAACCTCAGCGAGTGTCAAGTAGTGAACAATATTCTTTGGGGGGAGGGTACTCATTTAGGGGAGAGGGTCAAAAATACTGTCGTCACCCTATCGAATCGGTTACACAATGGTAAACTGAAGATTGTTTAAGGCCCTTTGCGAATGTTCAGACTGCATTCAAAGATTTTTTTACAAGTTTTTAAGTTCAGCTTTCAAATCTCGCGCTTCATTGATTCATTTGAATAACTAATAGTCGCTCTCAGTGGGATATTAAGTTCAAAGTGGTAAACTCAGCATTCAAAACTCGCCCTTCGTCGATTCATTTGAATAATTCGCACCCGGCTACCCGGAGAAAAAATCTTTCATTTAAGACTCCTACAAAGTATTTCATCGAAAATAGCGGGACATATTGTCGCTTTTGATTTCGCTCCGCTTGGATTCCTTGCTTCTCACAGCGTTATCAAAAAAAAAGCATTTAAATTCTGTGCTTCAGTTGACCGCAGCCGAGAATAGTGCACCCGTTGTAAATATCAGAAAACGTAACTACAACTAAAAACCTCAAGTGAGTCAACCATCCTCCTCTACATTTATACCTAAATTTGTACTATAAATCGACACCTTTTCCTTACCTTTACCTTACGAAAGAAGAAGTGTTTATCGATAGAATTTATGGCATTAATCACAGAAACTTACAGTCTCAACGCACCAACATTAGTCACCTCCGGTTCTCAAAAAATTACGACAAAAATGCGTTATTCTTTTTCCAGAGATACTGCTTTTGACGGAGAAACTATACTTTGCGCCATACATTCCTTTTAGTAGTGAATCGCAATGTTTGCCCCCTGGCGATCCCAGTATCCTGGGAGCATAACATAGGTCTCTTTTTACTGGAAAATATTCGTTGCTGAAATCATAGCCATCAGAGGAGACTGGTTATGAAAAGCGGCAAACATCAATTATAAAAACAACGGTGCCTCAGTTTATTTTGGAAGCTTCCTGAAGGTGCACAATCCTTTGTTTTCTTTTGACAAATTGTGATCATGACGAAATAAACTAATACAACGTTCTTATTGGTCAATACGATCAAAATAATAGGACTGCTTTCGAACGTTCTGCACTTTAAAGTCCACAAAAACATATCAACAAAGGAGTCTGCCGGGTTTCACAACCATTCCACACCATTTACTATGCTGAAGTAAAAAGGAAATAAATAAAAAACAGTTTTCAAATTTAGATATGGTAACAATATTATTTGCTTTCATAGTGAGACCAAACGGATCATCATTTTTTTTTTGTGCTGAAAGAGCGCTGTTCTGCAGAGTGGGTTATTTTAGTGGCCAAGGAAGAATGTGCTACTTCTGGTACATGTACTATCTATTAATTAAATAAGAACGGCTAGACCTTTAGGTGCCCCCAATCCAGGTGGAAGTAGCAGTCCCGTTTCCAAAAAAACACTCAGAAATATACTCACGCCGGTATCAAACAAATAGAACTTCAAAGGTAATTGCAGTATTTTTCTTCTTTTCATTTATTTATCTATTTGTTTTTGTTTTCTTTTTTTACAAAACAAGAAAGGTCTTGAAATAGAAAAATCCTACCTCGTGATATTAGAGCTGAAGTTCCGCCTACGGCTTCAGATAAGCCATGATACAATTCAGCTGTAAGAAGATAAGATGCCACAGTTGGAAATATGACCTGATATCCCCCGGTCCAGCGTTGAATGTCCATTCCGATGGCGATTACTTGAATTCCTGCTGATTCCAAGGGTCCAGAAGCAGCTGACACATCATCATCGGAAGATGAAGACATCAGTAATATCATTATACGATGCCTTGCTTCACCATCGCCCGCAAACAGAGCAGATTGAGCCTGGACAAGGGCAGCACCCGCATTGCAACCGACACCAATGCTGTTTACACTCAAGCCATCAATAGCTGAATCGATTTCAGAGATATCAGCATACTTGTCAAATTGGAATATAACCTGGAAAACAATAGAAACTTCATGAGTCGGAAATATTTTCTCGTGCGCAAGAGTCTTTATGAAATCTCTGCTGGTTTACACGTGCAAAAAATCGCCTCTTTATGAAAGGAGTAATCAGGCCTGTATAATGCGCCCCTGCCATAAAAATCGCAATAATCATTGCATCTTTCAGCTAGAGCTGTTTCTTCTCTATTCCCTACCATGATTGTAACAAAACTTTTTTTTTTTACTTCGAACAAAAAGTATGGGAGGAGGACAAGTCTCCTCACTGCACATCCCCCTGCACGCGGTCCCTTGTCCCTTAGAACGTATCAGAGGTTTTTCCGGTGGCTGGCGCTGTTCTCTACTGAACAACTTGGGCTTGATTTTTCTGAAGTCCAGGGAACACTTCACTCTGCTAAAGGATTCCGTTGTCTCAAATAATTTCGACATCTTTACGATATCAGAGACATGGCTGGATTCTTCAGTCAACAACGAGAGCATTCATATTCCAGGCTACACTTTGTATAGACAAGACCGTGGCCCGCACAAACCTGGCGGCGGACTATGTGTTTACATTAAGAAAAACTACAAAGTTTCATCACTGGAGAATGTATCCTCAGTTTCTGATAATAACTTTCAGCAATTGTGGCTAAAAGTGCAAAGTCGCTGTTATAAGTCATTCGTCATCTGCACAGTATATCGACCACCGAGTACTCCATTAAATTTTATAGATGATCTTGCCAACAGTCTTATCGAATCCCTCCTGTCAGGTCTTGATGTCATTATATTGGGTGACCTCAATTGCAACCTCCTTCAAGATAACGCAGAATCCCGTGCTTTAAACGATTTTTGCTCGACTTTTAACCTCACCCAATTAATCAATAAACCAACCAGAGCCAGGGAGAATGGGGAATCGTTAATCGATGTTGTGATGACCACGAATGAGAAACTAATTGCTTCAAACGACGTCCTTATGTCAACTATTAGCGATCACAATCTTGTTTACATCTCGCTGAAGTTAAAAAAGCCAAGGATCAAGCCCTGTTACGTCACTATTAGAAGCTATACTAATTACAGCGCCGACAATTTCCTACGTGATTTCTCATATGCGCCTTTTCACATAATAAGCCTATTTGACGATTTCAACGATCAAGTTGATGTATTCAACGAACTGTTCTTGGAAGTACTAAGTCAACATGCTCCAGTCAAGAGGGTTAAAATTAGATCTAAACCTAACCCCTTTATAACACCAGAAATTCGTCAACTAATGAGAACGCGCGACCAATGGCGCAAACTTGCGGGAAAAACAAATGACCCTTTCCACTGGAACGGATACAGATTTTTTCGTCAAGAAGTGAAAAGGGAGATTCGTGTGGCCGAAAAAGTTCACGTCAGGACTCAGATCCTGGATAGCAATGGAAATTCTAACTCAATTTGGAAAATCATTAACCGGTGTCTACCACGTAAACAACAAGATAGTTTTATGGCTTCTGAGGATCCCACTGGGTTAGCTAACGAATTAAATGATTTCTTCACTTCCGTCGGCAGTATTACTGCTCAAAAAGCCAGGGACTTATCTTTACATCATGGACTTAATGTAAATTTGGATGTGCCGACTCCTTTACACATATCCACCGACGTTAGCCCCGAATTATTCGTTCTCCATCAAGTCACGGAAAATCAGGTAGAAAGGGTGATTAGAAGCCTACCATCTAACAAAGCTCCTGGAATGGACAAGATATCTTCTAGAATTCTTAAAGACAGTTTACCCAGTACGCTAACAACAATTACCCACATTGTGAATAACTCCTTTGTTACCAACACATTTGCACGTGCATGGAAAACAGCAGAGGTTACACCTATTCTCAAATGCGGTAATCCAGATGTCCCTAACAACTATCGCCCCATCTCATTATTACCAATAGTCTCAAAAGTCACTGAAAGGTTGGTACATGGACAACTTATGGAGCATCTAATTAGAAATAATAAACTGGCAGCACATCAGAGCGGAAATAGAAAGCTTCACTCGACAGAAACAGCTCTGTTGTACGTTACAGATCAGTTGCTCCAGGCTATGGATAACAAGAAAGTTTCCATCATGGTCTTATTAGATATGTCTAAAGCATTTGATAGTATTCGACACGACATCTTGTTATCCAAGCTACAAAATCTCGATTTTTCCCAGGGTGCGTTGGATTGGTTTCAGAGTTACCTTTCTAACCGACAACAGTGCGTTCGAATTGGTGACGCAGTTTCTAAAGTACTCCCACTTGAGTTCGGAGTTCCGCAAGGCTCTATTTTAGGTCCGGTTTTGTTTACAAACTATGTTAACGACCTCCTTTCTGTTCCTAAACGTTGTCTATCTGCCTCCTATGTTGATGATTGTAAATTGTATTTGTCCTTTTCACCTGCCGAATTACCCACGTCCATCCTCGCCTTAAACGAAGATCTTACGAGAATATCTCAGTGGTGCTGTAAAAACTCTCTTTTGATTAATCCGGACAAAACTAAGGTTCTAGCTGTTGGATTACCACAACTTTTAAAGAAACTGTCATCATTCAGTATAACACTTTTTGACAAGGAAATAACACCTGTGCCTGTCGTTAAGGACTTGGGTGTTCTTCTCGACACACGCCTCAGTTATAACCAACATATCACTGAGATTGCCTCTAAATGCCTTTTTAAATTGTACCAAATTAACAGAATCAAGCACCTCCTGGATAGGAAAACACTTCTGTTAGTAATAAATTCATTTGTCTTTAGTAAACTCCAATATTGTTCAACTGTCTGGAGTAATACCAGCAGCAGCAATATTGACAAGTTACAAAAAGTCCAAAACTTTGCTGGGCGAATTATTCTGGGACTAAGAAAGTATGACCATATTTCGGATGGGTTGCGATCGTTGAAATGGCTTCCTATTAGAGAGAAACTCATTCTAAATGACGCTACTATGATGCACAAATGTATTAACAAGCTTGTTCCAGACTATCTTGCTGATTTGTTTAAATCACGTTCTCAAGTCCATAATAGACAAACTCGATCATCTGGTGCTTTGGATATACCTTTATGTCGCCTGTCAACAGGGCAGCGCTCCTTTGCTTTCAGAGGAGCCAAACTCTGGAACTCGTTGAATGATAACATTAAGTCCTTAAAATGCCCCAGGAATTTTAGACGTCATCTTGCAAATGTTTTATTAAGTTGATATATTATATTATTGATATATATTTTGTAATTATAATATTATTGTACTTACATTCTCAATTAATTTATATATTTGTATTTTTTTATTCTATTGAGCTGAAAAGCCCACTTAGGGAGCATCAATAAAGTGTATGTATGTATGTATGTATGTATGTATGTACGAACTGAATTAACGCACCTTAACATCGCTTCCGAATAACACCAATCCGTATCGCACGCTGTTGCTCATAGTAAACGAGTGAAAGACACTCCTGATATAGTTCATGACTAAAGAGAAGTGGTCCCTTGAGCCTGTGCTCCCAACATCTACTATAAAAGCGAGATCAACACCGCCTGCAAGAGGAAAAAAGTGCTTAAACACGAATGGAAACAAAAAACCACGGAGGTAGAGCGGAAGTTTCCTCACTCCCTTTTACCGTATCTTTTTACAAACACTTAGGGAGACCCAGATTCTAAGAGGCCAACAATTGACAATGTTCTGCAGTCGTACCTCACACGTCAGCTGCCGACGTAAAGCTGTGGTGGGGGGGGAGGGGGGGAGGGAGATGGAACTGTAATCTGCCCATATTTGAATACCCATGCATAGGCACGATTTCTGCAGCCCGATAAATCTTTCAAAAATATTCTTTGATGTCACTAGAAGGGAAACTGGACTCTGGCTTCCTAAATTAGCTTGGAGGCAAAAATACACTGAACAGAATTTATATATGCAAGAGCTGTGAAATAGGGCCTATAGGTTTTTATCCTTACGCTATAATACTTGAAAGTTCAACCGTTTATATTGTCTGTACAAAGGCAGCACCTTCTTCTCCGGCATTTAAAGACCGTAAGTTATTTGTCCGGCCGGGTTTTGAACCAGTAGCCTTCCACTCGGCAGGCCTGCGCTTCAGTTGAGTTATCTGTGTGGCGGTTAGATCAACACGTAAAAGAGTCTGGTTTGCAAGACAACTTGCAGCCTTCTGAATATTCTTTTGACGAGAACGAACAAAAATGCATTATTTGATCGCAAATTAAATTTTATGCGACAACTGAACCACGCATTTAATTAATGATTTGCCATTGGGTGAGGAGAAGTCAGCTGCTTCGTACCGAGGATAAAGTTTTGAATTTTGAATCCGCGATGATGTGCACAAATAATGTCGTAGTCGACGTCTTAGTCATGAATCTGCGTATATTGGAAGTCGTGGTTTTGATTTCGTTGACTCACAAACTTTTCCCATCGACCCCCCTCCTCCCCAGCTAGTGCCTTTTTTTCTTATAAAGTGGTGATGTTAGTGTTGTTGCGGTTTGATTGCCCTCACCTTCGCAGGCAATACATATTTAGTAAGAGTCTGTATATTGATATTTTGATTTGATATTTTGAGTTTAAAAAACCGGACATGTGTTAAACGTTTACAAAGCCACTTTACACCATCATGTGTTTTGTATTGCCTTTACGAAAAGAGCTCAGCACATAATTCATTTTGGCCAAGTCTGAGTCTTTGCAATTCTACTGGGGAAATTGAAGCATAAATAGAAATTATTGCGACGGCACTGTTGTCATTTTCTTAAACGCCTTAAGAAAATAAGAGGCAATCAAATGCTTTGCAAAAGAAAAAGCGTTTACGTCGGTAAATTTTGCAGCAAATAATCAGCTCGCTGAGGCGTGTTGTCCTACTGACTCGACAGTCTGTGGCTGGTATTGGCGAGCCGTCGAAATCCATTCGAAAAGCAATGACTAAAGGTAGGTGAAACACCGCAAATAACTTATTTTCTGGAGAGACTCTCTGAAGATAGTATTTGAGGGACTGAGAGCGAATGTATGGAGAAGTGAGTGGTCAAAATGGAGGATAGCCCGTGAATAGTTTTTACACTATTACAAATTTTCGGCGCTACAGAGAGAAAGAAAGTTATACCTTCGATGGTAAGGTGACATTTGCCAAAAGAGCTTTATCTTTATTTGTGGCAACCTGTAAATGCCAAGTAAATCATTATGAAACCAGTCCTGCATGCGTTGCAGTGCATTGGACAGTTTGCAGTTACTAACCTTGTGATATAAGAACAGACACACTTTCACTGCTGTTTTGAACACCTTCGATCGCATCTGTTCGCAGAACATAGGATGGAGGGTACGCTATGTCCGTAAGCTGTGAGTGTAAAACTAAACTACTCATGCTCACAACCATTATCCTGACTCCACACATGCGCAGTGAAGCAGCAGGAATATAGACGTCATCAGAGGAAGTACCGGCTATAAAGGCAACAAGAGAACGTTTTCTGCCTCTAGAGCTTCTTGCAAAGAGGTTTGCGTGGCATTTGGAGAGAGCTGAGCCTGCGGTACAGTCACCGCCAAGAAGAGAAACACCATCAATGGCTGAGTCAACATCTGAGATTGAAGAAAACTCTCCAAACCGAAACACAGTCTACAATAAAATAAAAACATTGGTTATACAAAAAACAAAACAAAACAAAACAAAAGCAGGAGAAAGCTAACGATAAGAAATGCTAAGCACGGTACGCAAACGTTGCCTTACATGTATATATCACATCTATCAAAAGGTATTAAAAAGACACTGAAGAATACGCTGCTTAAAATGGTCCATGGGTTCCCAGAAACCTCCACATCCGCCACATATTCTTGAGACTAAGGCAAGACCATTAACATGAATGAACATTTTCTTCATGCATAAAGAAAAAGAATTGAATGAAATTAGACGACAGATGGTCACCATGAACGCAAGCTTAGTAAGAAAGGGAAGAGGGGAGGTTGGTGGATGCACTTGACGTCCCTTTTTGTGTATGTCTGTCAAATTGCCATTCTTAATCGCCAAAATGTCACGTTCAAAAATTTTGATTTTAATTTTTAATTTAAATTTAATTTAAATTTTAATGGTAAAGAGTTTAAAAACTCATTGCCATTGATCACTTCGGTAGTTTCTTTGAAATTTCCTCCATTTACAAGGGATCATTTCACAATTAACAGAAATACTTACTAACTCTGAAGTTTAAAAGTTTACTTCAACAAGTTCAAAAGGTCATGGTTTGTTTTTTGTGATTGGTGGATATGGATCTCTTTCATTGGTCGTTGCTTGTGTTATTATGATAGACGGCAGGGCAATTGTTAAGTTGGCTTTTATAAAGGCCTGAAAACACTAGGCGACAGCAGCAACAGGTCGCGGCTACACTTCGCAGCGACAAATCGCCTCTTCTGTGCTGGAAAAATTTTGCAATAATAATCTTTGTCTCCATAACGGAAAATTGACAAAGATTTTTACAAAAATTATCCAGTACACAGGAACCGATTTGTTGCTGTAACGTGCCACGCAACTTGCTGCAGTAACTTATCTTCCGACCTGTGCACATGGAGTCATTTGTTGCCGCGAAGTGTTGCAGGGGGAGCGACATGTCACCTACACTGTAGTGAGTACTGACCTTTAAAGTTGAAAGTTCCGAGTTATTCAAAAGCGAAAAAAACAGAAAAAAACAAAAAACAAAAAAAAAAAACCCGGAGAAAGTTCACCAACATCACGATCATCATCATCACCATCATCATACGTTACCTTCACGGAGTCATCACCAAAGATAATTAATCCGTATCGTATGTCATCCGTCATTGAAAATGAATGAAATACGTCCTTCACAAACTGCATAACAAGTTGAAAGTTAGCTGCCCCGCCAACGCTGGATGATGCATCAACCAGAAACGCTAAGTCAGTTCCTCCTAAAAATAAAAATTAGCATAAATATATTACAAAGTTAACGGTTTAAAAAATAGTTTAAAAGGTAAGAATGCAATTAACAATAAAATGCGATAAACTATGCAAACTATAAGTGATAACATTTTAATTAAACTACTTTTTTTAACCGTTTGTAATATATTTATGTTAATTTTTATTTTCTAGTCACACTTAAAAATTCAAAGAAATTTCTCATCAATTTTTGACAACACAGGAAAATCCTTAAGAGCTTTGATTTTGGAAGGTAGAAAAGAATTCAAACTTTTCGATTTATTTTAGCTGATTTTTTTTTCCGTTGGAAGCAATGTTTCCAAGGCCACGAGTCGAGACTTTTTTCGGCTCTGTATCTTCTATTGATTCTTTCCGGCCCATCGTATTTTCACTGTTTTCGATTAAAAATTTGAAAATCATAATTTTGATATGTTTTGAAAATGAGACGACAAGTGAAACACGAGACCACAGGGGGCTCGAACGCTGTATTAGCTAGTATTAGCTAATAAAATAATAAGATACATTTTCCTTTTTTTCTGTGTCTTTATGAGTCGTTTTGGAAGGGATTTGAATCCGATCAGAGACGGTTAACGTTGCTGGTTATCAAATAAGGCGCTCAAGTTTCGTCTCACGTTTCTAGTATTGTCATGTTAACTATTAACTCTCAATCTCCTTGGGAGATGATCTCGGGTTTCAGATTAACTGTCACGAGTAGTGGAAAGTTAATAGTTAACAATATTAGAAACGTGAGACGAAACTTGAACATCTTATTTACGACGCGCCAGACAAGCAAACGCATTTGATAACCAGCAATGTTAACCGTCTCTGATCGGACTCAAATCCCTTCCAAAACGACTCATAAAGACACAGGAACAAAGGTAAATGCATCTTATTATTTTTAAAGCTAATACAGCGTTCGGGCTCCCTATGACGAGACGATGAAATCGGCTAGCCACATTACTACATGTCTAGCATTATTTGAAATTGTAAAATTATCGAGTATCCTCATCAAATTACGATCGCTGCCGCAGGAAGTTCGAACGCTTTATAGGTGTCTTAGTTACCGTGAAAGGATATTGATACGGGTAAATTTTTCGTACAGCCCCATACATTTATTATACATGTAGTAATTTCATACCATTTCACACAAACAGTTAACATTCATAGAGTCGAATCGAGACATATGGATAATGAGTGATGGGGGCTGTACGGAAATCTTACTAACGTTAAGAAACGGCGATTTACCTGTGCGTCTCTGTCTGTCCTCGGTCGATTGGGAAGAAGTTTGCATTAACGTAAAGACGGTTTCTCCATTCGATTTCAAAACACATCTTACTGTAGTGTCCGACAAGTCGACGCGTCAAAACCTTTGCAGACCACAAAGACGTATCGGGAGCAAGTTTCGGGTTACAATGACCCCGGAGTTGTGACCGGCGTTTGGAGAGATCCGGAGAGAGACTGAGAAATCAGCTGAGAAATTGTCTTCTTGTTAAAACAATCTAGCCTGCGTAGCACGGCGGTTTTGGTTGGGCGGACTAAGTAATAAAGGCGGGCGAGGGCAGAGAAACTGCGAGGAGATTAGGGCGGGAGCAACTTGAAAAACCGCCTGCACGGACGGGTGGCTTTTTTGAGTCGGTCCGTACGGTTCCGATTGGTTCGGAATGTTCGCTTGTCAATCAGATATTTTGGTAATCTCCCATGGGAGAGTTTCGAGGGACTGAACAAATCATCTCCGCAAAACAAAATCAAAGTATCAAAGAAGCGTTGACCGGAGCGTCGTCGATCTTGAATATTTGACGGGAAAACAGGGCAATTGTACACGTATTGAAGCCTAAACAGGAAATGGCCATTTACAGTCTTCTTCAAAGGAGAGATGTCATGGAAATTTTGTCAACAAGATTTGGCAAGAGCATGATCTTTACTGTCTTTGCTATGGCCAAAGAAGAAATATCCTCATCGAAAACCTGTATGATCACAATTTCCCCTCTAAAAAGTACTATCGACGACCAGATATCTGAAATGTTGTCGCTGAGCTGTACAGCAATGGACCTTATGACAGAAACAGTAAATTTCAGTGCTCGAGAAAGTTCAGCTCAATTTTCTCTATTACTCGGTGTTAGAGAATAACGCACTCCAGCGCAATACATCGAACATTATCCGCGATTGTGGTCGATGATCGCATACAGTAAAAGAAAGACGCACAGCGTAATTCTCCATACTTTTTTGCTTGGTGTAGTTTAAGTTTAAGCTACAACTTAAATCTGAAGATCGCGCTATACGTAAAAATCCAACATCCTGCAAACAACACTTAAAAAGTCGGGCCCAGCGTCAGCTAGCGTCAAAACATTCACGGACAAAGAAACTACAAACCAAGGCTCCTTGGTTTGTTGTTGTCCAGATCCAGGCATTTTAGTCGTAAAAGACCAAAGAAACTGAAATATTTATTTAGCCGTAATAAAGAGCTTTAGGCTTTAAGAGTGGTCAAAGAAATTAGTACTTTACAACTGCATCTGAGATCAACAAATTCTAATTAGCAACACTAACATTAACCACAGGAAATAATAACTCAATACGGATTAAACAAACCAACTTCATGACCTATAAATAAATGTAAGACTTAGTGCAGCAAAAATAAGATCTACTCAGTCAAGTTCAGAACGCAGTGTAGTCACCTATGCGCGAGATAGCCACAAAGAAAAAACCTGTGTTTGTTCAAGCAAACTCCAATTCCGGCCAAGGTCACGTTTTACACTATATCACGAGCTTTTGTGTCGTGTTTAGGCTGTCAACGCTTTATTTTTGATTGGCTGGGAAAACTGAAACCTACGGTGGCCCACAAGTGCACTCCGAATTCCAAATGACACTCCTTATCTTTAAACACACCCCTGATTCTAAAAGTTCACTCTTAATTCTAAAAGCTCACTCCTGATTCTTAAAGTTCACTCGTAATTCTAAAAGCTCACTCCTGATTCTAAAAGTTCACTCTTAATTCTAAAAGCTTACTCCAAATTCCAAAACTTCACTCCAAATTTCAAAACTTCACTCCGAATTTGAAAACTTCACTCCGAATTCGAAAACTTCACTCCGAATTCGAAACTCCACTCCGAATTTGAAAACGCCACTCCGAATTCCAAAACTCCACTCCGAACTTGAAAACATCACTCCAAATTGGAATTCTCCACTCCAAATTCGAAAACTTCACTCCCAATCCAAAATCGAAAACCCAGAGTCCTCGGGCTCTTTGGTCAGCGGTAGAGCCCTTCGGGCTACGCCGCTCCTGCGCCCGGCTCAACAAAAGCGCCATACTACGCAGGCTAAAACAAATCCGGATCCACAAATCCTTCACAAAACGACCAAAGACAGACAAAGATGCACAGGTAAAATCACTTCGTTTTTATTGTAATACTATCAGCAATCTTATAGCTGTCAAGCGTTCGGGATCCCTGTGCTGCTGGCATCTATTTGAATAAGCGCGAGCCGGCCTGGGTCTCCGCTTACTCTTTAGCCTTCGCTTTTCGTGATTCTCAAATGAACAGCTTGAACGTACGATATCAATGGATTTCTTGCAGGTGAACATAGTTTTGCCTTGAATGCGTCCGAATTAGACAATAATTCATCTGAAGCATAAATCGACAGTAAAGGACAACTTGCAGGGGAATGTCCTGAAAGTGTCAATAATACACGGTACTTGATCTCTTAATTTGACTAATTTCAGCGTCAACTGAAGTCTCACCATGACTTTATTCTCCTTGATTTCCCTGCTTGTTTTCCGGAGTGATAGCACGAGAAGATGGGTACAATTAAATCAGATTAAATAGACTAATTCCTCAACTGGGTAAAAGTTATAATACCTTAGTCTTACTTTCAATGCTTCGATTAGAATTTTCACTGCGACAATTATGAAATAATATATCGATTTAGCCAGGGCTAAAAGCGAATCTCTGGTTAATAATACTTGTAAACAAAAAAAATTAAATCGTGTAATGCTCAACGTGGCGGGCAATGAAAATGGCATCAAGATCAATAGATCTAATTAGCAAAAAAAAACAAATTGCACGTGCAGCACACTTTTTTTTCTAACTTAAATAGCAAAAAAACCAATTTGCACGTGCAGCACGCTTTTTGTCTTTGTTTGCCGTTGTTTTGCATAACTACAACGCTGTTTTGTAGGACTAAAACGTCAAACTTCCTGGTTACACATTATTTTTATGGAGGAATTGTCGTATGTGCTTCCCCAATATTTTTGTCTCCTGTGTTCATGTTCGCTTTTATTTTTCACTGTCGCACATTTTCACTTTGCTAGCCACTAGCATTTCTCATTGTCTCACAGCCGCTTTGAATTTTCATGTTTTTCTTCCTACAAAATTCGTCTCAATCACTCGCTCTAGCTCTTTCTCTGTTATCCACGTGAGTGTAAACATCAAAAATAACGTCGAAAAAGACACGACTTTGTTGTTGTTTTTTCTTTCTAAAAGTCCGGGCGGCCATGCGATTTCTTTCCGTTGCATTTGGGTTGCCATACCTGTTGATTGAATTATTTGACATTGGTATGCCTGTGGTGCGGACGGACGGTCGGGCAGGCAGGCGGTCGGTGTGCGGTCACGCGATTACCAAATTTTCTTGGATGGGTAGTTTACCACATTTTTTTACCCATGGTGTTCCGCTGCGCGCAGTGCGCGCGAGAGCTCCGCTATAATGTACAGACTCACGGGCACTGCCGGTTTAGCAAACACGAAGTCAACAGTGCGAAATAACTACGCCATTTATAGGAAATTTTAGCCCCTGGCTTTACAACTGTGCGTACCAAACTGTTATCATTAACCCCATCCACTCCCCCACAAATCCATCCATCATCAATGTACTTACCCCCCACCCACTTCTACCTTTGTCCTAGAAAAGGTGTAGAACTGGTAAGCTGCTGGCGAAAAAGACAACTAACCTCCTCCTTCAGTTAAGGTTTTTGGTACAGCTCCTGCCATCTTAATGTCACCGACTACAAAATTAACAACAACAGTTAAATTAGACCCACGGACGAGGTGCATGATATAATGCCACAAAAAAAACCATTGCTCTTGCAAAAACAAAAAAAGGAAAATAATAATAATAATAATGAATAAATAAATAAATAATAACAAAATGAAATAAGACAATCAAAACATTGACTCATTCATGTATATCGCTTGTAAATGAAAAGTTTTCGTTTATGCACCCTTAACGTGTTTATGTTGATACATCTTATTAGAATTTCTTTTGAAACGTCAATGGGAGAGCACCACAAAGATTTTAAAGAGCCAGAAGAAATATCCAACGTAAAATCTACAAATGGGCCTTTTGCCGCCCGAGACCAATTGGCAAGTGACTTCTAGCCAGAATTATGGAGCACACGTATAACCCTAAAAATAGGAGGGATGACAAGAAGAACATAAAGCAAATAATAAGTCTGACAATTTTTAGGTCTCAACTTATAAGAAGGCAATTTCATTGCAGTTTAAATTGATCTATGCATCATTAGAAAAGTCGCTGGACCAAACTTTTGGCGGTCCATTGAGCCATTTGTAACACAAATGATATTATTATCTATTGTTATTACTGTTAATTACTGTTACTATCATTATTATTATTATTATTATTATTATTATTATTATCTTACATTTTTTGCAGGTTAAGTGACCATACCAACGGTAAATGACCTATAGCGACTTAGCACCAATTGAAAGTCACTCTACTTGTGCGTGACAACAAAGCTGCAAAAGTGCCCAAATCTGTACGCGGCACAAATATGACAGGCAATTACAAACTCCAGATCGGGTATTCATGTATGTCCGTGTTATTCAGTAAAAACTGTTCAAACTTGATGATTTAGGGTTTCTTGCATCTCCAAACGTCATTTTGTGTACCAGTGAGAGCGCAATTGGAGAGCAATTTACAGACGACTTGGGAAAATTCTCATGATGTCGGACCATGAACTTATAAAACTGTAATTTACTTGTCTTAAGCAAAATCCGCCGTGCTACCCTGGCTCCAGGAGTTCGTTCTAGATATACCTTGCATGGAATAACCGTGCGCATAGCCTCCCACGCAGAGGTTCTTAGGGCTTCGTCACGGATTCCTGCCCTGTTAAGGAGGATTGTGTGACGAGCCAAAAAAACGTCGTCTGCGGGGGTGGCTGCAGTGCGCACAGTTTCAGTTTGATGATAAAGATCGCGAGATTGACGTCTTTGTTTCTCTCTGGGCTTCTCTGTTGCAGCTTTACCGCGAACTATCCTTAGTTTAATACATGTAGGAAAGATTTAAAAAAACAAAGAAACAACAAAAAATACCTCTTGCACCCTGAGGGTACCGCCGCGCTTGCCTAATCGCTTATAGTGCGTGCCGTGCATATTGTGATGGTTGGACGAATTTAATACCTTTGGAGGTTAAGATAGATACTCCTCCTGGACTTCCGGACAATCCATAGTAAGAGTAGGTGGTCAGGAAATAGGAAGAGGGGAACGCAATAGCTGATAGCTCAGACTCATCAACTGAGGTGCTGATTCCAACACCAATGATTTTCACTCCAGCTGACTTAAGGAAATTAGCAGGAGCCGATACATCCTCCACCGACTTGCCAGCCATAATTACTATCAGAATGCGTTTTCTACCTCTGGCATTACCGAAGAATAGATCGACTGACTGGCATGCCGAAAGACCCGCGCCTGCATTGCAGCTTCCACCAATTTGGGTAACACCGTCAATGGCGCTGTCAATATCGGACATCGCAGTGTACGTCGTAAAACCAAAAATAACCTATAATAGAGACAAAGCAGTTATTTCAAATGATGGACGGTGATGAAACATGGGGCAAAAACGCCAAGATAATTTACATTAGCTACACGTTATTCACCCGAATATACCAGTGGAGCGCATTCAGGTACATTTGAATTGGTTAGTTGCCGGGTGAAAATTCGTGTGTTTACACGGAACAAACTTAATCGTACGAAAATTTAGAGATCTAGCCGTTCACTAGCCGCGAAATCGAGGTAAAATGTTCAACAAGTACAGTTGACAATAGGCCATTTTACAGTTGCGTGCTTAGTGCCCTGGTCTTTGAATAGAGGCGAGGCTGGCGCTGACCTTGTTTTCCTACAAACCTTCCTGCTTTTCATGTGCAAATCGTGGTATTTTCATGCTAACTAGCCCATGAGCATGATCAATTACTTCTATGTTTTGAAGGGTGCATTTTTTGAAGCTTGTAAACCGCCAATGGTTTTGGTCTTTTAGTTTTTGCCCCAATGCATTAAGATTATTTGTGCTTTATTAGTTATTTGAATAGATTTTAACAGCGAACTTCTCACCACCGATATAAGTTTCATCTACAGTGGAGCCTCGATATAACGAAACTTTATATCAGCGAAGTCGTTGGTGTAACGAACTATCTTTTCTTTTTAGCCCCAGTAATAGTAAAACGTTGGAAAAGGACCCGTCGATATAACTAAACCTCGTTATAGCGAACATATTTTGCCAGTCCTTTGGCCCTGCATTATTTCGAGGTTCCATTGTGTTGTGTTAACGGTATGAAAAATGCTAAAAGCTTTGTTAATCAGCCGGGAATATTCACAGGGCAAAACTACTAATTCTGAACACGAGACGGAATAAACAACCGTTAGTCTCCATAGCTATACGATATATGAAGTCATATGACTTAGTACCATATCATATACAGCGAATACAAAATGCGAATGCTCATTATCTTATGCTCGAAATTACTATTAACAATGCAATATTTTTGTTACAACCATTCTGATTATATTTTCCACATACATTAGCAGTGTCACCAAAGACAACTAATCCGTATCGCAATCCGTCAATCCCAAGGGAAAATGAGTGAAACACTTTCTTTACAAACTTCATAACTGTCGCAAAGTTCGCTATCCCGATGACGTTTGATGACGTATCGACTAAAATTGCCAGGTCAATGCCACCTAAAAGAATGGGAAAAAAGACTGTCAGAAGAGATTTTATTATCGAAAGACAATAAGCTGTCTCTATTTTTTGTGTTGTGATTGTTATTTTTGTTGTTGTTGTTGTTGTTCTTCGTCTTCCTTTCTTCTTTTTTGATTTCTTTTGCTTGTTTTTTATTTCTTTTTTCATGTGTTTATTTATTTTGTTTTTCTTTTTTGATGCTCCTGTTGTTTTCTGCTTTTGCCAAGAATAACACCTCTAAGCTCGATACTCCGTCAATTTTTTCCCATGAAGTTGTATTTTATGGTCTGAACAGTGTTCTAGTTTCTGCCTAGTACCAAACAGCATCCATTAAGTCTTACTGTGATTGAGTACAAGCCTCTTGCTTTCTAACCATTGTTCAGCATCGTTTAGATCGTTTTGTAAAACCTGCTTGGTGATTTCCGCGCTGAAGTCAGAGAAGAAGATAACCCTATCGTCGGCATACATCCCTATTGACGACTTCAGCAAACTTTGCGGGAGATGATGTATATGACAAACAGCATCGGGCCCAGAATGGAAAATAGAGCAGCATATTTGTCAAAGCAAAGAAGTGACAAATTTTACCCCACCCTCCCCCCCAAATATTCGATGTTGAAACATTTTGATGTAATTCAAAAACTAGTCCCAAGCAAAGACCATTTTAACAACAAAAAGCACTATAAGTGTAAAACTGCGATCTTAAAACAAAAAAATCACCATTTTTTAAATTTTCCAAAACCTATGTGTCAGAAACTGGTTGCCATGGCAACATGATTAATCACATGGACATGGTAATTATACCAAAGTGTTCCTAGATAAATTTTAGGAAAACTCAGAAAATTTGTTTGAACTTCATAGCTCTTTCGGTGTAGGAGTTATCACGATTTTGTCTGAATAGGGTTAAGGGGGTTTACATCAGGAGGCTCCTCTTCACTTTCTAGTTGCTGCAGGTAACTCGGTAACCGACCTTCTCTCACTCCCCGAGATGAAGATGATAGCAGTAATACTTAAGAGAAATTTTTCCCAAAATTTTGATAGGGCAATCGACAATTGCAAGGGCCCTTAAAGAACGGAATAAACTTGTTAACATTTATTGACGCTAATAATTTTCAGCCAGGAACAGAAGGCAGGAAAAGTAAAGCAAAACCTCTTCGTTGTGAAACTGGTTTTTAGTTGCGCACATTTAAGGCATCATTTTTTTTTTGTAATTAAAAGGTCTCTTAATTATAACTAAAATTTATCACCGAGTTTGCCTGCGTCACAGACGCTCTAAACCTTCTGTATAGAGCTCGCAGACGGACAAAACAAATGCCGTTTAGACGAGTGCGTGGGCCGGCTGCAACGCAGACTATCTGCAAGCTGATCTGTTGGAAATAGGAGTGTAACAGCGGAACCTACCTTTGTTAATAGGTCCAGCTAAAGCAAAGAAATAAAACAGAAAAAATATCCATGTTAGCCGCAAGCCGTATTTTCTATTAATACTAATCTGCAAGTCACGTACTTTTAAAATAGGTCAGAGCATTATAACTTCCACTACTAGTAATGCCTCATAATAAAAATATGTTAAATAACCTTCATGTTTACGCGTTGGATGCAAACTTCAAAAATCATTCATGTTATACGGTAGTTTAAGAACAAGAATACGGGGAAAAAAGGATTTGGCAGATATGACTCTTCCTTGTGGAGCTCGAATATAGATACAGTGAACCTTAAAAAATCGTGCACTCAAGAGATATTTCTGGAATATATTTGTGATGTAAGGAATTTTTTATCTAATTGTTGTGATTTGTCAGGACAAATAAAATTTTCAGAAGTATTTTAGGTGTTCACGTTTTTCTAATTTCGACTGTAAAGAAAGAGTGTACCGCTTTTGAGTGATTCAAATCTTCATTCCGCGAAATGAAGGCGTAATTTTGTCTGATTAGTTCCTATGAATGATGAAACAGTACTAGACGAGAGAGTTGGATGGTCTGTTATTATCGTCAGTCAAAATTCATGATCATGTTCCTTGCTAGGACTTTTGTGATTTCTATGTTAACGTTGGCTTTCGTCACTGTTAATCAAACAAGGCTCTTCAAATAAAAAAATATATATATTGTCCCTTTTAAATCTCCGTTATCTGAACTATATACCCGACTTGAGGATCCACGCCCATGATATTTACACAAACTGAACAACAAAAATTGTCACTGATAAAAAAAAAATCTGCCTGTGGCTTTTTTCATGTCCACAACGTTACGCAGCTGTTTTCCCTCTAAGACCACACCTTTGCTGGAAATGAAAAACTTCATATTTTTATCCGTGTCGTACGCGCAGGTCATTTTTCGCCAGCAAATTCCGATGACTTGGCCGCGGATGCCCTTGCAAACGCATTTTAATTATGAGTTGTGTTCCACTTTTCCTTTCTATCCATCGTATTGATAAGGTACATAATTACTTACTTGTTCCAGTTTCAACGGCAGTCTTTGCAGCTGCAAAGGAGACAAAATAACCGGTAACTGAAAATCGTCTACTTGATTTAAAAGTAGTTTTGTAAGACTACTAAACTTTAGTAGTTGTGTCTCCTTTGGCCTTCAGCGCGAGTAACTACTTACAGTGGAGTTATTTTTGGGGGAGTCATTTTAACTTCAAAAAGGAGTTTAAAGAACTCTTTTTCAGGAGCAAAAATCACCCCAGATATTGAGGAGTGAGGAGTTAAAATAGCTCCCAAAAAGGAGTTATCCTGTACCTAAAGTTTTTACTCCACCTTCAAGAAACTCTAAAAAGAGTAAAAACAACCTCTTTAAAAGTTAACCTCATTTCCCTAGATATTTTACCTCCTGACCGGGAGTTACAAGAACTCTTTTTCAGGAGTAAAAATGACACCAAATTTGGAGTTAAATCAGAAGTTTAAAGTAACCCCATAACTCCATTTTTGGAGTTATAATGACTCCCTCAAAATTACTGTGTACATGCAAAGTGAAACAATGAGCCAATGTTATATAAACATTACTAGAAATATGTTCGTAAAAACCTAACCCTAACCCCTAACCCAAAAAGTGTAATGAGCTGGCAGTACGAATAAAGGGAAACAAGCCAAGGGGGGAAACAAGATTTAAAAAAAAAAAAAAAAAGAACGAAAAAACACAAGGGCTTAGGCGCGAGTAGAACCTGGACCATCTGCACAGAAGGTCGGCTCCTACATCACTGCGCCACGCTGCAAAGGATAACCTTCTGTGGCAAAATTATTATATTTAAAGTATTGTTACAGTGAAATTCTGCCAATAGATGCTCTTTAAAGCTGGTAAAGCTGTATTTATCATGAATTATTTAAAGATATATTTGCTTCTGTAGCTGTTGTTGTTAACTTTCCACCCTCTTTTCCCCGCATTTTTTTGTTTGTTCGTTTCAGCACAAACATTTATTAGAACTTTCGATGGAACCAACCCCATTACTGGAAAAGATATGCAGCTACGGTCATTTACCCCGATCATGGCTCCTGTGAGTAAGGATTGCGCGTTTTTTGTACTTCATAACGTAATAGAGGTAACATTTCAGTTCAATCCTTGAACAAAAAGTAATCAGCATATCTTACCCTTGCACATTCGTGACTTTATGCTATTAACTATGTCTCCCATTTTGGAAAATTCAGCTTCGTACACGTGCTCTGCCTCTGGCTTTGAAGCCATTGTATTTAGTTCATCCTTAATATAGTTGTGCCCTAAACCAACAGAGATGATAATTACTCCTGCATCCCTCAATTCTTGCGAAGGTGTAGTTAAGTCTTCTCCTCTATTTGCTTGTCCATCAGTCATAACAATGAGTATTCGAGGAACACCTCTTCTGTTGTCCTTAAATAGTTCTTCAGTCGCTTTAAGTCCGTGACCAGTTGCCGTGCTAGAACCTATGAATTTGATATTGCTAATAGCTGCTTCGAGTTCCGCCTTTGTTGCATAGTCATTGAAGGTAAACAAAGGGAATGCCTGGTGGGAAAACTCGACCACTCCCACTCTGGTATCCGTAGGAGAAATGGTGAATGCTCTTGTGAGTTCTATGACAAAATCCAGACACTTCTTAAAGTTCGGTTCCCCTACGCTCCCCGAGGAGTCAATTAAAAATCCAAGGTCCACTTGAGTAGTGCATACTATCAGCAACCGGAAAGAAAAAAAAAATGGGAAAAGGAGAATATGTTAACAATTATTTTTATTATAACAAAGGTCCCATCTGTGATTAGCTACAATGCGATCAACAATTGATTTAAAGATCATGTATATGACAAACAGCATCGGGCCCAGAATGGATCCCTTGGGGACCCTTTACCCAATAGCTACACTGGATGACACGTCTTGGTTATATTTGACTTTCTGGGCTCGAGTAGTAAGATAGTCTTCAAACCATTTCAGAATTTTCCCTCTAACTTTAACCTTAAATGGCCTTGCCCTCCTTAGCATTTTGCAACGGAGACAATTAATGATGACCCTCTTTGCGGACGAAGATAGAACACGACTTGAACCTTATCAATTAACTCCAACCACCTTATCTTAAAAAAAAAAGAAATAACGCCCCAAATCATACGCTCGTTTTAAAACTTATGCTACTATTTCTTTAAGTATGCAGTCACAAAATACAGACACTTTTTTCCTACGTTCCTGATACCTCCTTTATATTTGCCTTTGGTTGTCTTTGACAATACAATCTCTGGCAATTTAAGAGGGTTTATATCAGGAAGCTCCTCTTCACTTTCTAGTTGCTGCAGGTAACTCGGTAACCGACCTTCTCCCACTCCCCGAGATGAAGATGATAGCAGTAATACTTAAGAGAAATTTTTCCCAAAATTTTGATAGGGCAATCGACAATTGCAAGGGCCCTTAAAGAACGGAATAAACTTGTTAATATTTATTGACGCTAATAATTTTCAGCCAGGAACAGCAGGCAGGAAAAGTAAAGCAAAACCTCTTCGTTGTGAAACTGGTTTTTAGTTGCGCACATTTAAGGCATCATTTTTTTTTTGTAATTAAAAGGTCTCTTAATTATAACTAAAATTTATCACCAAGTTTGAATGCGTCACAGACGCTCTAAACCTTCTGTACAGAGCTCGCAGACGGACAAAACAAATGCCGTTTAGACGAGTGCGTGGGCCGGCTGCAACGCAGACTATCTGCAAGCTGATCTGTTGGAAATAGGAGTTTAACAGCGGAACCTACCTTTGTTAATAGGTCCAGCTATAGCAAAGAAATAAAACAGAAAAAATATCCATGTTAGCCGCAAGCCGTATTTTCTATTAATACTAATCTGCAAGTCACGTACTTTTAAAATAGGTCAGAGCATTATAACTTCCACTACTAGTAATGCCTCATAATAAAAATATGTTAAATAACCTTCATGTTTACGCGTTGGATGCAAACTTCAAAAATCATTCATGTTATACGGTAGTTTAAGAACAAGAATACGGGGAAAAAAGGATTTGGCAGATATGACTCTTGCTTGTGGAGCTCGAATATAGATACTGTGTGAACCTTAAAAAATCGTGCACGCAATGGATATTTCTGGAATATATTTGTGATGTAAGGAATTTTTTATCTAATTGTTGTGATTTGTCAGAACAAATAGAATTTTCAGAAGTATTTTAGGTGTTCACGTTTTTCTAATTTCGACTATAAAGAAAGAGTTTACCGCTTTTGAGTGATTCAAATGTTCATTCCGCGAAATGAAGGCGTAATTTTGTCTGATTAGTTCCTATGAATGATGAAACAGTACTAGACGAGAGAGTTGGATGGTCTGTTATTATCGTCAGTCAAAATTGATGTTCCTTGCAAGGACATTTGTGATTTCTATATTAACGTTGGCTTTCGTCACTGTTAATCAAACAAGGCTCTTCAAATAAAAAAAATATATATATTGTCCCTTTTAAATCTCCGTTATCTGAACTATATACCCGACTTGAGGATCCACGCCCATGATATTTACACAAACTGAACAACAAAAATTGTCACTGATAAAAAAAATCTGCCTGTGGCTTTTTTTATGTCCACAACTTTACGCAGCTGTTTTCCCTCTAAGACCACGCCTTTGCTGGAAATGAAAAACTTCATATTTTTATCCGTGTCGTACGCGCAGGTCATTTTTTGCCAGCAAATTCCGATGAATTGGCCACGGATGCGCTTGCAAACGCATTTTAATTATGAGTTGTGTTCCACTTTTCCTTTCTATCCATCGTATTGATAAGGTACATAATTACTTACTTGTTCCAGTTTCAACGGCAGTCTTTGCAGCTGCAAAGGAGACAAAATAACCGGTAACTGAAAATCGTCTACTTGATTTAAAAGTAGTTTTGTAAGACTACTAAACTTTAGTAGTTGTGCCTCCTTTGGCCTTCAGCGCGAGTAACAGAAGTCATAATCGGGGTAGGAGACAGCAAGCACGGGGTCCATGCCGTTCCATCGAAATAACCAAATGTGCTATTTTAGAACAATCTCCGCCACCGTGGTCTCAACGTCACAAACTCGCGCGAGAACCTGCAAATTTTCGCTGCTCTCGTGTGGAATTTCAGGAGATAGGCGATCGTTTTGCGACTTTATTAGAGCACTCTCTGAACTTTCCAAGTGCTTCATACATATATATATACACATATAGGCAATGCACAGTAATTTTCAAGGAGTTATAATAACTCCTCTAGTGGGGTTAATTGAACTGCTTACATTGGAGTTATTTTTGGGGGAGTCATTTTAACTCCAAAAAGGAGTTTAAAGAACTCTTTTTCAGGAGCAAAAAATCAAGCCAGATATTGAGGAGTGGGGAGTTAAAATAGCCCGCAAAAAGGAGTTATCCTGTACCTAAAGTTTTTACTCCACCTTCAAGTAACTCTAAAAAGAGTAAAAACAACCTCATTAAAAGTTAACCTCATTTCCCGAGTTATTTTACCTCCTGACCGGGAGTTACAAGAACTCTTTTTCAGGAGTAAAAATGACACCAAATTTGGAGTTAAATCAGGAGTTTAAAGTAACCCCATAAAAAGGGGTTATCCAGTACCTCAAAATTTTACTCCATTTTGGAGTTATAATGACTCCCTCAAAATTACTGTGTGATGGAAAGTGAAACAATGAGCCGATGTTATATAAACATTACTAGAAATATGTTCGCAAAAACCTAACCCTAACCCTAACCCTAGCCCCTAACCCAAAAAGTGTAATGAGCTGGCAGTACGAATAAAGGGAAACAAGGCAAGGGGGGAAATATGATTTAAAACAAATAACAAAAAAACAAAGAACGAAAAAACACAAGGGCTTAGGCGAGAGTAGAACCTGGACCATCTGCACAGAAGGTCGGCTCCTACACCACTGCGCCACGCTGCAAAGGATAACCTTCTGTAGCAAAATTATTATATTTAAAGTATTGTTACAGTGAAATTCTGCCAATAGATGCTCTTTAAAGCTGGTAAAGCTGTATTTATCATGAATTATTTAAAGATATATTTGCTTCTGTAGCTATTGTTGTTAACTTTCCACCCTCTTTTCCCCGCATTTTTTTGTTTGTTTGTTTGTTTCAGCCGAACGGGAGATTTGTAGCATTCGTAAAAAGAAACACTCTCACTACGGTGATTAACATAAGCCGTATCACATTTACAGTACTCATTTAGAGTTATCGCAAGAGAGAATGTGTTTATTGTCAGTGAGGTTTTCCTCAAGATATTACGTAAAATTCAGACTTTTTGACACGGTATTTGCCAATTTTTCTTGCGGTATTGCGGTATTGGGTACCCCCCAATGCTTCCCTCCCAGAGAAGGCAATGATGCCAGAAATTAAATTTATTCATCGCATGTAGAGTAATTTCCGGTGCAGTTTTTGTTTGTTTCTCCTTTGCGCTGCGTCCTCACAAAAAGTGCGCGCGTGTCACACAATTTGTGCCAAAAAAAAAAAAAAAAAAACATTTATTAGCACTTTCGATGGAACCAACTCCATTACTGGAAAAGATACACAGCTACGGTCATTTACCCCGATCATGGCTCCTGCGAGTAAGGATTGCGCGTTTTTTGTACTTCATAACGTAATAGAGGTAACATTTCAGTTCAATCCTTGAACAAAAAGTAATCAGCATATCTTACCCTTGCACATTCGTGACTTTATGCTATTAACTATGTCTCCCATTTTGGAAAATTCAGCTTCGTACACGTGCTCTGCCTCTGGCTTTGAAGCCATTGTATTTAGTTCATCCTTAATATAGTTGTGCCCTAAACCAACAGAGATGATAATTACTCCTGCATCCCTCAGTTCCTGCGAAGGTGTAGTTAAGTCTTCTCCTCTATTTGCTTGTCCATCAGTCATAACAATGAGTATTCGAGGAACACCTCTTCTGTTGTCCTTAAATAGTTCTTCAGTCGCTTTAAGTCCGTGACCAGTTGCCGTGCTAGAACCTATGAATTTGATATTGCTAATAGCTGCTTCGAGTTCCGCCTTTGTTGCATAGTCATTGAAGGTAAACAAAGGGAAAGCCTGGTGGGAAAACTCGACCACTCCCACTCTGGTATCCGTAGGAGAAATGGTGAATGCTCTTGTGAGTTCTATGACAAAATCCAGACACTTCTTGAAGTTCGGTTCCCCTACGCTCCCCGAGGAGTCAATTAAAAATCCAAGGTCCACTTGAGTAGTGCATACTATCAGCAACCGGAAAGAAAAAAAAAATGGGAAAAGGAGAATATGTTAACAATTATTTTTATTATAGCAAAGGTTCCATCTGTGATTAGCTACAATGCGATCAACAATTGATTTAAAGATCATGTATATGACAAACAGCATCGGTCCCAGAATGGATCTCTTG